GTTTTATGGAGCACCTTTCATCCGAGAAGCGCTTTGCAAACATCAGGCTAGGTTCTGCCAGGTGTGTGACTCATGCCCCTGACCCTAAGAATGCCCCACCTGCCTTAACCGCCACAGGATGCAGAGCCCTCAGTGATTCCCCTGCAGACCCTGCAGTGACAATGGGGCTAGTTTCTGGAAGCCAGAGGCTCCAGTGAGCTCCCTGTTGTCACACATTGGCCTCACATCTGATAGTGCTCCAGATGGAGTCAGTTTGTCCTTCTCAAAGTGACTCTGCTATGGGCTGGACACTGTGTTAAGCTCCAGTGACACAAAAGCAAAATATGGCCTTTGCCCTCCAGATATTCACAGACTAGGAGGGGATTGCCACATAGAACAGCATTGCCCCCTACCTGCTCATGAGAGGGGATCTGATCCAGACATGACCTCCTCCCACCTCCCGTGCCCTCCTAAGGAAGCACCTTGCCTGCAAGTGGTTTGCAAACCGCAGGTGAGTCACAGATATATTGGTGCACATGCCAGCCAACTGCATCAGAATGAAATGTTTCAGGCAACCCTGGGGGTTAAGCATCAATTGCACACCCTAGATTCTCAGAAGAGCATCTCTGTCCAGCATTCCTGTTCCTGTACCAGTCCCTTAGGCAGACACACACACACACATCCCAGTAATATACATACAGAGCTCCAGTAGCTGCTTCTTAACACTTCCTACATTGTGGAACCACTGATGTGCTCAACAGACATAGCAGAGCAGAGTAATCAAGGGTGAAGGCCCTGGAGCCTGGTTTCCTGAGTTCAGATTCCATACCCCTCACTTACAGGATGCATGGCCTTGGCAGTACTTTTCTGTGCCTCAGTTTTCTCATCTGCAAAATGGGCATAATAATGATCCTTTCCTGTCAGGTTGTTGCAGGATAGAATGTGAGTAGAGGACTTCATAGCATACCCATAGTTGCTATTGTAATGAATGCTTTCAATGTTATAATAAGTAATACTCTATTATATGTGTTGTCGTATATGCAATAATAGTGATACCGGTATTCTGACTATTATTGTTTGTTACTGTGGTAATAAGATTACTATCTGCTCCCACCATAATTAACTCATAAGTGAGTTTCATGGCAACAGGAACCATCTCTGTGGTTTCTGGAACCACAGAAAAGGACTAGATTCTTCTGTCTGTGTGACTGGCTCACATAAGCTTTTATGCTGAATTCACTCTTTCCCACCTAGCACAACACCCACCCATCTCCGGGGAATGCTGCTACCGGCCCAGGAGAGAGGCAGACAAGTGCTGGATCCTGGGGTGGTGCTCATGCCATATCCTCTGGCCCCCCTGCAGCACTGTGTCACGCCCAGCCCCACACTGCTACTGTACAAGGGGTGAGCCCCAGTGCCACCCCAGCAACTGCTTAGTCCCCAAACACTGGACATCGCTGCTGTCCCCAGGCCATCCCATGCAATGCAGTGTCTCCTCAGATCTGGTAGTTCTTGGCTAACTGTCTCTCCGCCTCCTCCAGGCCCTGCATCTATGTCCCATGGCAGTGTAAGCCACTGAGCAAAGCAGTTTCTAAAACCAGTTTAGAAAACTTGTCCATCAACTTAGGAACCTTTACAATAATTAGGATGTTATCACCAGAGGGGTTGCTGCATCTTGGGGTTGCAGAGAAGTTTCTGATAATCCCAGGCATCAGTTGGTCATGGAGAGCGTAGTTGGGGTACAGGAGGGGGGACAGAAGCATCCTGAAGGGAGCATGAGGTCACCCAGTGGCCCCTCAGCTGGTGGTTAACTGCTAACAACATGTGAGGCTGGGCCCCAAAGCACAGAAGTCAGAGCTCTGGCTTTGCTGCTATTATTTTGCCAGTGGTGGGGCTATCACCACACTATCCAAGTGAGCGCCCCCACCAGATGCCAGGAAACAGCTCACCAAGCACCCCTGCCCCTCTACTGAGCCCCTCCCCTCAACCTGACCTCACATCTCACTTTCTTGACACAGTTTAGATGCTCAGTGGTGGCAACTCATAGGGTCTGTACCTCCCTCCCTCCCAGGTTACCGTTGAGCTGGGAGTTTTCCAGTGATTTTCCAGGGGCCTGTGAGCAAAACGGAACACTTGGTGCTGACACATTAATGATGCCTGAGAAGATGACTATTAAGGACTTGCCTAAGGGTGGGATTAGGTGTAATTGTGTGTGTGGTTCCTCTGTTTTTCCGATTATTCCACTGAAATCCCGCCTTGACTACTTTCAAAGAGGGTGGTCTTGGGCCTCAGGTTCCTAGCATGTGGATATGGGATTATGATGACCGCCTCACCCAATTCACTGTGGGTTCTTAAATTGCTTAAGGCCGTGCTGGCTGGCACGTCTAAGCCACCCATAAATGGATTCTTGTTTCCGCTGCTGAGTGGCTGCAGGGACATCTTGGCTTGTGATTCTGGGCAGAGCCAATCCTAGTGCCCAGCGACCGTGACTTCCTCAAAGTTCTGGGTTTTTATTGTCCTTGTTGTTTTGAGCTACAGTGCACCCAACACTCATCATTTCAAGCATACAGTTCAGTGGTTTATAGTCTCTTCATAAAATTGTGTAATCATTCCCACTAATTTCAGAATATTTTCATCTCTCTCAAAAGAAACCCCATGCCCATTAGTGTCACTTCCTGCCCGCCCTTCCCGCAGCCCTTGGCAACCCTTAATCTGCTTCCTGACTATGAAACTGCACACAATGAACATCCCCTATAAATAGATCATGCAACACATGGGCTCTGGTGACTGGCTGCTCTCAGCCAGCAGGTACCCCAGGTTCATCTGTATTGCACCAGATACTTCACTCCTTTCTGTGGCCAGTAATTTTCCAGTGTGGGACCCGGGCCATGCTTTGCATTATGCTTCACCAACTGATGTGCATTTGTGCTGTTTCCACTTGTTGGCTACTGTGAATGATGCCATGGTTAGGAACCTTTGTGTTCACGTTTGGCAGAGACGTAGTTTCCTATCTTTTGGGCCTACACCTCAGAGCAGAGTTGCTGGGTTATGCGGTGATATTGCTGCATTTAATATTTAGAAGCAGTACCAGACTGTTTTCTTTGGGGCCCTGTTTCAGAAGGACACTTGTGGTTTAGACTTTAACTCTCGTGCTGAACAACAGGGTCATTGGCAGAGGCTGGCTTGGGAGGGGGTCTGACCCTGCGCTGTGGGCCTCCCTTGGTGCCCAGCACAGCCTCCACTCACTCACCAACTCTGTCCTGTGGACAGCGGCCTGGTGTCTCCTTCCTCCCTCCGCACTTCTCACCTTTTCCGACCTTACTCTCTGTGGTCTCCCTGCTTTAAACCACACTACCCTTTACGCTGCATTCCACCCCCCTGGCCCTGCACCCCACGGGGCACGGTCTGGCACATGAACCAGTGTGCCCTGGAAGATAATCCACTGGAAGCTGTTACCTCACATGGTCTCTTACACTCTTTCTAGAGCTGAGAATGTTCTGGGCTAAAGCACAGTGTCATTTCAGAGTCACAGGGGAAGGAGATCATCTGGAGAGGCTTTCTTCTCAAATATGTCCACTTCCTTAGGAATAAGTGAGTCCAAGTTAGGAAAAAACTTACCAGATGCATAATTTGCTTCTCTGAGACTCAGCTGCCTCTTCTGTAAAACGGGTTTAATCCCAGCCTTCTTGGGATTAAGTGAGGTACTGCGGACACAGCTCCCACTGCCATGCTCCAGATGCTCGGTGAATGAGCTCCTCCCCTCTCCCCACACTACCCGCCCCCAGCGGCCCACACTCCCAGGGGTTTTTCAGTATCATTCTCTCCATGCCCTTTTTTTCTCCCTCCCTTCCCTTTCTATTCCCCTCTTTTTCTTGCATCTCTCCTCTCCTCATGCCTATTCTGCCCTCACCTCCTGCCCCATGCAGGACCTCAGGTAGCTCTCTGTAGACATAGGGCACTGCCAGTTCTCAGCTCCCCTGCTCCAGTGCCAAGCCAGGCCAAATCCTCTGAGGGCAGGGACCAGGGTGGTTTTGCAGCGCAGATTCCCAGGTCACAGTGGTGTCACACAGACAGGTGGTGACGTGGTTCGCTTGTACCTGTGGGGCTCCTTAGGTTTCCCTCCCTGGGAGGTCCTAGCAGAGACAGAGCTTTGAGTGACACCTGGATTTGAAGGCCTAAGATACCTTTGCTGTGAGGGGCAGCTAGGACTACTGTGGTACTAGATCCTGGGCCCCGGCTGTGTTGAGGACTGAGCTGGGGTGGGAAGTGGCTGAGGCAAGGACCCACCCCTGCCAGGGGCCCAGTGGGTCAGGCGTGGAGTGGAGCAGCTGTGGACGAATAAGTGAATAAATGAATGAGTAGTTTTCTAGGCCAAGGGTTTCATAATGCGTAGATTATTATTTTTTTAAATAGCTTTTTCAATTAAGAAGAGAAGACTGTGGTTATTATAGAACATTTAGGAAGCAGGAAAACAGAAAGGGCTAAAAGCCATAATCCCATCAATTCCAAGATGAATTTCTTCAAATGTGCCAATAATAAATTAATTCAGAGAACTAAAAAGAAAAGAAGTAAACCAAAATGCTTAGCTGGGGATTGGTAATTATGACACAACAAGAGCTTTATTCAGGGATGTGTCTCCAGGCAAAAGCGGCCCACATGAGGCCTCTCTGGCCATCCCCTCTGGAATTGGGAGGAATGTGCTTGGGAAAAATCTCTCTTCAAGCTGCCCGGCCACCTAGGAAGATCTTTCTAAGCAAACCAAGGCTCCCAGCCTTCTGGGGCCCCTGAGCGTGGCTTGAAAATTGGGTAGATGAGCACGTGTAGAAAGACAAGCCTCGCTCTCTCTCCAGCCCTCCCAGCTGTCGAGCCTCTTAGGAGAAGTGTTTCTAGCACTTTTTCCCACCATTTCTATCCTAAGTGTCAAAGGAGTCCAAGAAGTCCTGGGGTGAGTGGGGGCCCCAGCTCAGTCAGTGCAGTCCGGCTGTAAGTGACCCCTGATTCGCCTTCTCTCCCATTTCCAGCCGTCAGGAATGACAGAAACAAGAAAAAGAAGGAACCTTCAAAGCAGGAATGTACGGAAAGCTATGAAATGACAGCTGAGCTGGATGACCTCACAGAGAAGATCAGAAAAGCTCACCAGGAAACCTTCCCCTCGCTCTGCCAGCTGGGCAAGTATACCACGGTAAGAGCAGCTTCCGCACCGGGCTCTTGGGAGTGTGGGCCTAGCCGCTTGTGCATCCTTCAGTGCACCCTGTGCATCCTTCACTGCAGCCATGAGGGCATTCACTCCAGAAACAAACTGTGCGCATGCTGTCCGCCCAGCTGTGTGTGAGGCTCCTGAGACACGCACACGGAAGAGAAGGCTGCTCTCTAGGGACTTAGTCTTGAGGGGAAGGAGACAAATATGAGCTTTGAGGAGTTGCATGGTCCTGACAGACACCTGCACAGAGCTCACTGGGGACCTCAGGGAAGATGGTGTCAAAAACACCAACCAGCCCTACGAACCAACCAAGAGGGTGAGGCCTCTGCCCTGGGCTGGGTTCCAGGCTCAGCGAGGGTGTTACAAACCCTCAGCAAAGGACAGAACTGACATCGATTCTGTGTGTGGATGGGGGTGTCCATCGGCTCCCCATGTTCTGTAGAGGTTAGAAATATTGAGAAGTGGGGAAAGAGAGAAAATGGGACTGAAAGGGAGGAGGTATGTGTTGACTGGTCTGGAATAGCGATGGAGAATTCATGAGGTGCTTTCGTTTTTTAAAGCAATTTTTGCTCATCTTATGTCCGCTCTCTTATATCCCAGTGTGACACAGCCAGGTCCTGAATAGACATGTGTTGAATGAGTGAGTATAACTGAGATGCTGATCTGGCCTCCTTGAGTGGCTTATGTTGCTTCCCAATGACAGTAGTTAAACACCCTTTTTAAAAATCCAAATATGTATGCGTCTGCTGTGACGGTGACTGGCGTGCGAGCAGAAGGACAGTATGAGAGGTCATGAGGATGAAAAGATGAAACGGTGATGCCAGCAAGAGACTGCGCAGCGAGTGGAGATGGTTCATGGGGAGCACGCAGCCATGTGTTTCAGTGTCAGTGACACAGTTTTCTCGTCAGATAGTGAACAGGAGCAGGCCCAGAGGGTTTTGCTGTGGAAACTGGTGCTAGGACATGCCAGGGTGTCTCCTCCTCCGGTGAGCATGAGGCTGTGTGGGGTGTGGAGGCTACACAGTTGAGTGGCTCCAGCCTCTGAAGGGCTGGCAAACCTAGACTCAACTGGACGCAGAGGAAGAATCTAGAACAGCACTTCCCAAACCTCAGTGTGCTTCTACAGCAGCTGGCAAGCAGGTTCTGCTTCAGCAGTTCTGGCCGGAGGGGTATTTCTAACAAGCTCCCAGGAGATGCTGATGCTGTTGGCCTGCACACCACACTCAGAATGGCAAGGGCCGTGAGACATACTTTGAGTAGCAAGACCCAAAATGACCTTGGGACCCACCTGAGCCTTTGGCGTCAGGGAGAAGGAGACCGTAGTGTGCCCTAAGGACCTTTCCCTTTCACCTACTTTGGAGATGAGACACTATCCATCCCCAGCTGGGGCCTGGCATCCTAAACACTTTGTGGGGACTTTCTGCCCCCCATGTTTGATCAAACGGGGAGAATGGAAATACAAGTTCCATCTCCAGAAGACCACTTAGCTACAGGACCACCCGACCTCCTTCCAGACATGCGCTGTCAGTTTCTGGGATGCAGGTTGCCCGGATGCAGTTTCTCCACTGACTTTGCTCTTTATTTCTCTTCTCTGTGTGCAGCTCTAGCTGTTTTTATTGTAAGCAACTTGAAATCCTTTCTGGAAGTAGGTGGGGGTATAAATAAATAACAGCAGCCCTAACAGTTCTCGGCAAGTTCTTGTTCCAAGTTGAGCATTTTGATGAAGAGCTTTTTTTTAGATAGACAGTTGCTTCCACTGCAAGGAAACTTCCTGCCATCCTCACTAGGCTGCCATCCCTGTCAGATGCCCTTGGAATAAGTGGGCAGAGGGGAATCAAAAAGGCAGCTAGCCACCCACCTCCAGGTCTTTGAAAGAGTAGATCCTATTTTATTTCCTAGTTAGGGTAGGTTTGTGCAAATGGCCAGGCCCCAGGAGGCAGCAGGATTGGGTGGGGGAGGCAGAAGTGTGACCACCACTCTCTACGTGCAGACCTGGGTGGGGTGTTCACCTACAAGCTGTAGAACTGCTCTCCTTGGGCAGGCTTTTAACCAGAGGCCCCTCCAGAGTCAAGGGAAAAGGAGGGTTCCACAAGGAAAGCAAGGGAGGGCCATTTATAGTGAGCTTTCCACAGTAGAATGGAGGAGCAAACCTGAGGTGACATCCCAGCTCAGAGGCTGAGTCCTCTCTTCCTTGGGTGGAAACGTAGTGACTTTGTCACCTGGGCTTTAGGGCCTCAGAAACTCACGTCCAGATCTGGCCTGTGTGGCTTGGAAGTTGCGTGGCCTCAGCCCCCTCTCTGTATTATGGGCATTTGCATTGTACCAATCCAGTGGGGTTGCTGGGAAGTCTTAAGTGAGGAAAATACATCAGAGCACCTTGCATATGATAGTTTCTGGAACAGAGGAGATGTGCAAAATGGGCAGGTCTCCTCGCGATCCTGTTGTGAATATCTTGTCATTTTCTTTAGGGACACTGTCCAGGTTCTGGAAAAATTAAGTGGTGGGTGGGTGGCCTGAGGTGCGACCCCAGCCCGGAATGTCTGCTCGGGCTGTCTGGCTTCTGCCCTGCTGCTCTGCCAGGTGCTCAGGCTGTTTGTCACTTCACAGGGCTTGGTGGGGGCAGCCCTGCCAGGGGCTCAGGCTGTTGAGCTATGGAGATTTAAGGAGCCCTCCTTAATCTACTCGGAAAAATGACCAAAACAGAATCCTTAAACCACTAAAAGAGGGCCTCCCTGGCACCGCAGGCGGTTGAGCACAGCACTGTGAAGCTGTCCACAGCCTCTGCAGTGCTGGTTCGATCCTGCCAGCCAGGGAGCTACCCACATGGCACAGCAGACCTCTCCTGTCTCGCCCACTGCTCCCCTCAGCAGTGCTTTTGGTCCATCTGCCTGTTCTGCTCCCTACTCTGTCCCTGGTGAGTCCTTTCACCTTCCCACACATCTGGCCTGTACCCGGGTTCTTGTATATATAAATAAATCTTAAAAAAAAAAAAAAAAAAAAAAAAACAGCAAAAGACTTTGCAGAGATGTATGGTTTAAAAAGGAAGGCGGTTGCAAGCAGTGCTCACCACTGTAGGCTTAACTTCCTTTCTAGAAAATAAACAATGTGATCAGCCAGAGATGCAGAACCTGGAGGTCAGGAATGAAAGATCAGGGGAGTGATGAGGCCCGAGTTCTAACCCAATCCACCAGCTCACAAGTGGATGTCCTTCAACCAGGCCTTGACTTAAATAAGCCTGATTTTTGCCAGTAAGGGCACTTGCCTGTCCAGATCAAATGGATGTTCCTTCACCTTCCATCACACAGTCACTGTGTACCTGCTCTCTGTTGAAACAGTGTAGGGTAACCTGAGCGACTGAAGCTAGAAGTTTCTTGTCTCAGCTCTGGGGGAGTTAGAAGTGTGAAATCAGGGTGTCAGCAGGGTCTCTCCCTGGTGACTCCAGGGGAGTATCCTCCCTTGCCTCCTAGAACTCCTGACTGGAAGGCTTTCCTGGCATTCTTGGTGTGTGCCTGCATTTCTCCAGCCCTGAGCTCCCCCCACCACCTTCTTGTGTCTTTGCACCAACTTTTCTCCATGCACGTCTCTGTCTGAATTTCCCCTTTGACCAGGGTGCCCATCGTACTGGATTTGGACCTACCCTAAGGCCCAATTTTAAGGTGGTTATCTCTGTAAAGACCCTGTTTCCAGGTGAGGTCTCATTGTGGAGGGTTGGGGTTAGGATTTCACCCACCCTTGTGAGGGACAGCCCAGCTCCCATACCAGCTGAGAACACTCCATGTGTTCACCCACAGATGTTCACCCCAACAACCTGCAGCTGTCTTGCCAGGTCTGCCAGGTCTGTCTTGCCTGGCCGCTTTGTGCCTGGCAAAGGTTTTAGTGGGCAAGCAGGGTGGAGCTTTAATTCTTTCTTGGAGGTGCTCTTGGAGTTCTGTAGCCATCAAAGGTCCCTCTCAGCAGCTGAGAACACCCCAAATGTAGCCTCTCTTGGACACCCTCTAGAATACTGATCAGCCCTCCGTCCTGCCCTTGTACCCCACCAAAGTCCCTGGATCTCTGAGGTCACTGAGGTGTTGGGACTGTAGCTACCCAGAGGGGCCCCCTCCAGACTCATGTCCTGGCCCAGGAATCCTAGACAGTGGGTGTGCGGGAGTAACCCCAAATACCACCTTCAGGAGAATTCTGCACTTCACTTTGCTTCTAGCCAGGCTTCCAGGAAGCACTTGGAGGTACTTAGAGACTCTCACCCTGCCCCCACTGCCCACATCCTACTGCTTAGAGTCCTCTGCCCCTACAGGCCTGCCACACCATGAAGACAGTGCCCACCTTCCCCCACAGTCCAGGGTGGCTGCCAAGCTGCCCTAGCCCCACCTGTTGGAGGCCTCCTCTGCTTCTGAAGAAAATGTTGCTGTGTGTTGGGGCCCCTGCCTCTTCCTCCCACGGGCGGACATATCTCAGCTGGCACATTCCAGAGGCCACGTTGTCATAGTGCCTAGATCGGTGTTTGTTGACCACGAGGAGACACTGGCCTGGCCCACCACATTCTCTTCATAGTGACGCTGAGGATATTAGCCTCCTCCTGGAAGCTTCCAGAGTTTCCAAATGGGAGGGAGATGACAAATGCAGCAACAGACTCAGGACAAGCCGTTCAGTCCAGAAAGTGGAACATGTGATAACTCAAGATGAGGGGGTGACATGGTGCAGGTGGGGAGCCCGGCTGCCACAGCCCGGCTGCCGCCTGGACTCGTGTACCTCCGCCTGCCTGCTGGGCCTCTTGGACAAGTTACTTAACTTCTCGGGGCCTCAACCCCCCACTGCAGCCCATCAGAACCGTGACAGTACCTGCGTCACGAGCACATTGAGAGAATTAGAGTGAGCTCGTTGGAAAGCACTCAGAAGCGCCTGACCTGAGGCGAGGCCCACATGGGGCTGTTACACTGAGTCCTTCGATATGGACAACCGGACAAATGAATGGTGGATGCAACGGCACTGAAAGGGCGTCAACCTCTGGGTATGGGCAAAAGGCAAAGCCTTCTTAACAAGGAGGCCACCTGAGCGGTGTGACTGACAGTCCCAGGCAACCTTAACGCTGTTCCTTTTAAGAAAGTGTGTATTTCCTCCTTATCTCAAAAGGAGCCACAGGTGGGGATAAGCCACTGCCATGCCAGGAGCTGCCTCTGTGGGACTTTTAAAGGACTCTGGTGGTTCCACCTCCTTTTTTACCCTCTTCTTCTGATTGCCATGCCAGAAAAAAGGGATCTATTCCTGAGACCAAAAATAAATGGTCATTTAATTGGATGTCATAGGTTAGGGGGAGGGTGTGGGCTTTTCTGAGGCAGAAATAGACTCTGAGAGTTGCCCTGAGGCCTTAGGTCAGGCTGCTCCCCGGGGACCTCAGCTCAGCACTGGGGAAGGCAAGCTGTTGGCTCGGGCCCGGGGGGCTCCCTCCCTTGCGGGGGTGAGTTTGAGGAAGGTCTGTCTCCCCCTCTGCCTCGGCAGAGCGGCTCTTCAGAACAGCTTCCCCCCACCCCATGTTATCCTTCTCTCTCCCCCTGGTTTTCAGAAATGCAGCTGAAAACCCACACTTCCCTGGGTGCTCCCTCTACCGCCTTCATTACCAACCCAAACAGGCGGAGCCTCCATTCGCCTCAGCTGGAAGATAATACAGAAGCCATCGTGAACCGCATGCTATGAATCCTGCCTCTGGTACAATAAAACACCAGGTTATTTTGCGTTTTATTAACTGCCTCTTCCCTTCAGTTTGCATAATAGTGAGTTAGATTTTCATGCCGTTAAGACGGCTGTGCATTATTTTTAATAGAAGGTTCGACAGGCCTTTCTCTCTCTCCGCCCAGTGCGTGATCAAGCAACCCCATACGATGCTGATGAGGATTTCGTTCACACTTGCTGGGCTGGGGCAATGTCTTTTTTTCCAGATGGATACTCCATCGTAAAATGATTTCCCGCCGTAAGCTCGCCTCTCTGTCCCTCTCTTCCATGTCATCTTCCTACCAACTGGATAAACTGCCTATTAAATTTAATTACAGACCGAATGGCCGCACATCTTGATCTTATATTCCCCCGAGTCTACTGTATTCACTAAGGTCCTTGAGGAAGGAATAAAATAAATCTGGATGATGCGTGCCTACTTCCTACAGGGAACGTTGTGGAAGGCAACTTGGCCCCCACTTTAGGTCTGGGCTGGCCCCCCTTGTGCAGACTCTTCTTGCTGGCGTTCCTGCCAACATTTGCAACAAAAGCTGGGTTTGTTGACTCTACGGGCTGATTTTCATGGAAGTGAGGAACTGAAGATACTGGTTAGGGATACCCGGTCCCCTTTCCAGAGTCACTGACTTCTGTCAGAGGCCTAGGGAATGTGTCCCCGGCTGGTTCAATAAGGCCTCTGGACATAACTGAACTCCGCGGTTTCGAGAGCAGAAGCCCACAGCAGGCCAGGCCCACAGCCCGGGAGAGCCTCTGCCTCCAGTGATCATGCTCCTGAGATATTTTAAGCCAGCAAGGACCATTTGATTTATTCAACAAATATTAACTGAGTCCCTATTGTGCACCAGGCACAGCTCCAGACACTGATAATAAAGTCACGAGAAATGAGACAAGACGCGCCAGTGTAAAGCAGTAAATGGTCGTGTGAGGGGAGAAGGGCTATGAACACAGCAGGACGGGGGGGACGGCTGCTGTCATTTTCAGTAGCGTAGCCTGGGATGGCTCAAGAGAAAGTGAAATTTGATCAAAGATTTGAAGAAATAATATAGTGCATCGCGCAGCAACCTGGGAAGAACAGTCCAGGTGGAAGGAGTGGCCAGTGCAAAGGCCCAGAGGCAGGAGCTCGCATTATTATTCAGGGTCACAAGGACATGCGTGAGGCTAGGCGGGGCGAGCTGAGGGTGGTGAGGAGTGAGAGGACATGATGTCAGAGAAGGTGGGCGGGTCTGGGGAAGCCTTGCAGCCCCTGGAAAGGACTTTGGCTTTAGTTGAAGATGACAAAACTCTGGAGATTGAGAGCAGCACAGTGATTTGCTCTGCCGTGTGTTCTGAAAGCACCCGCTTGTGCCTAGATTGGCCTGAACATTTAGGGAGAGCAGCGTAGGGTGAAGGCGCTGAGAGAGAGCTGCCGTAATCCAGCGGAAGGTGATGATGGTTCCGACTAGGGTGGTAGCTGTGGGGTGAGACCTCTTCTCTAAGTCTTGACAGTTTGGGGGGAGAATATGAAATTCTCAACCCTAACCTAGGCTGTAACGGCACACGAGCTAGAACCCTTCCTGTTGTGGGAGACAGAGCCCACGTGCACGTGGAAAGAATGGACACGTATTCGAACGAATGGAGGGACCCAGCCAGACCGTGGTAGAGGGTTAGGCTGAAATCTGTGAACCCTCTCATAGGGATGAGGGCGCCCCTTGATTGATTTTGTGACTATCAAAAGTTAAGGGTTCCTGTGTGAGCTTGGGCCTCGGAGTCCTGGATGGAAGCTGCCGAGGGACCAGAAGTCTGACTGTTCTCGGGAGGGGAGAGCACAGGGCAGCGCAGCTCTGCATGGCTCTTGAGGACTGCACCGTCACGAGCAGGGCAGTTTCCTCAGTGCCCGGCAGTGGACAGGAGCGCCAGGGAAGGCCACGGAGGCCATGCTGTGGCCACCAATGCACTGGGGACCTTCAGACTGTCTAAACTTGGTGGCAGTGGTTGCATTTTATTTTTTCTTTTAATTATCACGGACGCTTTATAATCTCATTTCTACCATGGCAAATTTCAAGCATGATATGAATGTCAAGCGAGTAGAATAATAAATGCCTGTGATCACTCCACACCCAGTCTGGTTTCCTCTCTCCACCCTCACAACCCTTTCTATTGCATATTGTTCAGGAGTAAATCACAAACACCTGGCTTTGTAAACATTTTACTGCGTGTATTCTAAATGATAAAGTTCTGGAAACAAAATACAGCAGTGCTGTCATTTCTCCGCCAAAAATAAGCTGAACATCTCAAACACCTTAGTATCTCAAATTTCCAATTTTCTCTTATGTCACCATGCATTTGCTTGAACCGCAATTCAGATAAGGTCTGCATCTCGTGATTGGTTTGCAAGTCCCCTAAAAATCTTTTTGACCAAGTCAAATTTATTTGGGTATAATTTACATGAAATCAAATTCATCTTTGTTAGAGGTTTAGTTTGATGAGTTTGACAGAAGTCTAGTGGGTGACCCCTCGCCCTCGTCTAAGGTGTGGCACATGTGTCTCCATCATCCCAGAACGTTCCCTGGTGCACCTTCGTGATCGACTCCCCCAGTCCCAGCTCCTGGAAACCGAGGATCTGGCCTCTGTCACTATCATCTTGCCTTTCCCAGAGCGCCGCATAAATGGAGTCATTCTCTGTGTAGGCTTCTGGGTCTGCCCGTCACGTAGGTGATGCTTGGAGGTGCCTGCGGTGCAGCCTTTCGCAGGGCCTCCTCGCTCGTGACTGCCGGCGGGCGGCCCGCCGCGTGGCGGTGTCACTTCACTTCCCGGATGCGCTCAGTGACTGCGCACCCAGGTTGCGCTGCTTTGAGACTGCAGGTTTTCCTTTCCCTGTTTCTTTTTTGGCTCCTTGCAGCATATTTGTTGAAGAAATCAATTGTTGTTTCTCAGGCGTCTTCTGCTTCCCGGATGGTGACAGTCCCGTCCCCCACGGTGCAGTTAATCGTGCTCTTCTGTCTCCTGCATTTCCTGATGTTAGATCTCAGGCTCATTCTACCTCCAGTGGGCTTTTCGGCCAGATTATGTCACAGGGGATGCTGTGCTTTTCTGTCACGGCCACTCAAACGACAGGTTGCGTTGCTCAACGATGCCGCGCTGCCGGGAGCCACTCATTCGCGAGGGTGATGGTGGTGGGTCCTATTCCCTATTCCTCCTGCAGGTGTTAGCTGGAGTAGCACGAGGAGGGATTTCCCTCACCTGCTACTAGGTTGCCCAGGGGTACAGGGAGAAGATTTTGAGCTTTTGAAAAGAATAAATCCAAGATAAAAACCTCAGTCCCCCCACGGGGAACTCCCTGCCAGGACTGTCAGTGCATTGGTCGATGCGCTACGTCCCGAGCTCCCGCTGGCTTCCCGGACACTCGCCTGATGGCATTTTCTCTCACTGTAGAATTCCAGTGCCGACCACCGCGTCCGACTGGACCTGGGACTCTGGGACAAATTCAGCGAGCTGGCCACCAAGTGCATTATTAAGATCGTGGAGTTTGCTAAACGTCTCCCGGGCTTCACCGGCTTGACCATCGCAGACCAAATCACCCTACTGAAGGCCGCCTGCCTGGACATCCTGGTACGTGCCTCTGAATTCTGGGATGTGGGGCGGGCATGGCGATGCGATGAAGACTGACTGCCACCCCCACCTCGGCGCACACCGACTTCCGTCCTCCTGACTGGAGTCTCAGTTTGTTGGCCAAAGGTGCAGAGACCCCCTGCAGTTGGCCAGAACCTGCCTACCCTTTCTCCCCTGCTGAGGTGTCCCCTCCACATGTCCCTGGGCAGGGTCCTGTCAGTCCTGGTCGAAGGCCGTCTGTGATGGTGGGAAGGCCACCTGCCCAAGGCAGGCCAGACCCGAGGAGGACTCGCTAGGGGCTGACCACTTCCCTCCCTGCTGTTCCAACTCATCTTGTACCCCAGGGCCTCTGAGGAGCATTCACAGCAGCTTCTGAGACAACCCTTAGGTCTTTATAAGGCCGTCAGGATTCTCCAGGCTAGACTGACCGCCGGAGGTAGTACCTCCATTGGGGGCCTTGAGAAATCCCATCCTTCCTACCTTCTGTGGAGCCTCAGTTTACCCCACCCATAGCTGAGAATCTGCTTCCCCCTTTTCTCTGCTTTTCGCATTCTGTGGATTCTAGGTCTTCCAAGAGGGTAAGGGCACTGCTGCATCTTGTTCTCTGCAGGCTCTGCTGGCTGCATGACACCCTCTCTCCCCAGTGGGGCCTCAGGTCTGCTGTGATCGTTTGGATGGGGACCGTCGCCTGAGACCAGGAAGCGGCTCCATTAGAGTGGCAGGAGCGTGTCCTGTGAGCTTGTGTGCAGACAGGTCTCTGGAGGAAGTGAGAGGGAAGCCGGCTCCCGGGAGCAGCAGGAAATAGGGAGAGTAAAAGTGCTTAATGCATAGCACCCAGCGGAATGCCAAGTAAGCCTCAGACGCCCGGGATGTTAGTCGAGACGGAGTTACTGCCATACGAGGAGTTGAGGGGCTTTAAAAGCATATAGATTTTTCACTTTATTACATCTTTCATAGTTTTGGGTATAAACCATTCTGCAAAGCAAATACATTTAATGAAATTGAACACACACTCAGTCTCCTCCAAAGGAGCAAGGACAGTAGACGGAGTGCTTGTGCAGGAAACGAGACTGGTGAGGTCTTTCCGCTGCTTGCTCCTCAGGAGCAGCAGTAACGGTCACTGCAGGGTCCAGGGTCTAAGGACACTGCAGTACTTGTTTTTTTTTTTTTTTTTTTTTAAATAAAATCAGAGGGTCTGAATGAACCAGGGGTTCTAGTCAGAAACCAGAGCAGTGCTCACCTGTCCCCTGCCCTCACCTGTCGGGTTCCACAGATTTTTCTTAACCTTTTGTTTTATTTTTTTTTTTAAGATTTATTTATTTATACAAGCACTGGGCACAGTCAGAAGCACAGGAGGGTGAGAGAATTCACCAGAGCCAGAGGGGAGAGCAGAGCAGGCAGACTGACGAAGTACACTGCTGAGGGGAGCAGCGGGCGGTAGGAGAGGTCTGCGCACCATGTGGGACCCTCGCCTGGCGGCCTGGGATCGAACCGGCGCTGCAGAGGCTGCAGGCAGCCTCGCAACCCAGCGTTCAACCACTGTGCCACCGGGGAGGCCCCAATTTTTCTTAACATTTTAAATGACTAGTTCCAAAGTAGCAGGGAGAAGAGACTCCTGCTGCAAGCAAACATGTTTCCTTCTTGAGAAAGGCAGATTGGTGGCAGGTCTTAATGGGAAAATGTCTCTCTCCCTTGAGCTCATAGGTACTTCATGCTGCCAGGAAAGACAGTCACTCAAAGTTTTGTATGTGCTGTTGTTATCATCATCACTACACCATCCCACAAGAAACTGAGAATAAGCAATCACACAGATCAGCATCTGCCCACAAGTGGCCAAACAATCAGTGTAGAGAGTGGGTCGGTGAGCAACTGGAGGTTTCTCCTTTGCCTAAAAACTTAGCAATCCCTGGATACCCCATCAGGGGGCTACAGGGTAGGAAAGAGTTTGATGAGGGCATTCGGTTCATTTATTCAACAAATATTCATTAACCATTTGCTGTGTGGATGGCTGTACCCTGTGTGCTAAAGACACAGCAGGGAGTAAGGCAGGTAAAGAACGGTCCCCTCTGGGAGCTTGCCTAGACGCTCACGTTTGAGACAGTAGATGAGTCAGAAAGTGGCAAGTGCTATAAAGAAAATAAAGCAGGGAGGATGAGTCATGGGGTAGAATACTACACAGCAATGAAAAGGGTACATGTATTAACACAGGAGACTTGCACAGACCTGATATGGAGTAAATAAAAGCCAGACACCCAAGAAGATACCATTTAGCCAAATGATTCCATTTAGCCAAATTTCAAGAATAGGCAAAACTAATTTAGAGAAATGGTCTATACTTAGGGAAAATGTGTTCAGCTGTGCACTTGCAGAAGACTCAGGAAAGGACCAACAGGGCCAGAAGTTAATGAGCAAGGGAAAAAGAGGAGCAGTTGAAGGTGGAGGATGTGGCAGCCACAAGAAGAAATCTGGATTTTATGGAGGACCTTTAGCCAGGGAGAGGTTCCCCTGGGATGAGTGTGAGCAGCTGCGCTGGCTGCTCTGGATGGGCTGTGCAGCACCAGAGCGGGTGGAGTAGAAATGAGGAGCCACCTTCAAGGCCCTCACCGATGAGGACGGCTCGGATTTGGGTGGTCACAGGGATGAGGAGAGAAGTGGAAAGTCCTTGCCAAATGCACAAAGCCTCTCTGGGCTCCAGCCTCAGGCACTTTGCTGCTAGGAGGCCAACGGAAAGCCGTGGGGAGATGCTTGTCCTGGCTAAAGACCGGGTGCTGCTCTCCTCGAGGAGGATTGGCTTCGATTGCCAGCAGAGCTCTGTGTCGTCTGAATGGACCGTCCAGTGGTGAGCCAGTCTCGCCTGAGCTATTTTCACCCCATCTCGTGGGCTCTGGGTGCTCTTCTTTCCAGATAAAATACCCTCCTCTCAACCAAAGGGTGTTTTCATCCCAGAGAAGCTCGTGGTGGTTGCCAGTGGCAGTTGACTTTAGTGTGACAGAACGAAACTCCTTGGTCTCTCTCCGGAGACAGGCCTGGCCAGAAACCGTGAGGAGGAGACCCACGGACCTCTCGGGCGGCCAGGGTGGTGGGTAGGGTGGCCGACCCTTGATAAAAGGAGACATTGACCGTTCTCTCATCTTAGGCCACATGCCGTCCTCTCTGGGCAGGCTCTTTAGACTTGATTTTGAGCTTTCTAAAGAGTGAGGCAATCGGCCATAGTTTAAATGCGTCAAAATCCAAATATTTTCCAACTTTTGAGGAGAAAAATCCTGCAGAGGACAAGTGTTTGAAAAAGATAATTTGTCTCTGCAGTTTGGACGTGGATTTCTAAGTGGGCCCTTGACAGCTCGCAGATGCCATCGCCCTCGTCTTCTTTCCAACCAAGCCCAGGTTGCTTTCACTCTCTTCAGGGACAGGTCTCGTGCGTGCGCGTCCTGGCAGTGTGCTGACTCCGCACGGACTTACCCAGTACCTGTTTGGCTCCAACCTGGAGACGTGTCTGTGGGCGTTGGGCTCATAAATACTGAGCATGGCGACTTTGCCCGTCACGTGATGGCTCCTTGTGTTTCTCCAGGTAGTTGGAGGAACGTTGGCCTGGGGTTAGGAGTCCTGTGTTGGAGGCCCAGGCACCATTATTTGTGTGATCTCAGGCGCTGCGCTTCACCTCCCAGGGCCTCGGGCTTGTTCCCATGGACCTCTGGATGCTGCTGCTCTGACAGTGGGGATGGCTTCACGCCGCCAGCTACTGAGATGAAGCGCAACATGTCAGCCAGCCAGGGACTCGGAGATGGCGAGGCCAGCTTAGGGAGGCCCTGGGCAAATATCTGAGGCAAGGTCAACCACCCATCCGATGAAGAGGAATCTTAGTCCTTTCTTGGTCATCTTTTCTTAGCACGGCTGTACGGTTCACTGTGCCACTGGTGACACAACAAGGACATTAAGAAGCTTGAGGACGTGTCCTCATTTACAACACACTGCCCAATATAAATTGAAGCTTGTAGAATTGTGTCTCTCCGCCACAGGCCGTGTGCTCCCATGTACAGTTGTTCGGGCTGTGCACTGCACAAGAGCACCCGGCCTAGGAGACAAGTGAGACGGGTCTGCAAATCCACACTGGGCCGGAAGTTAGCTCAATTTAGAGGGACCTAGTTTTTGCAGTGACGTGGCTGCGGTGGAGCAGATGACAGCACAGGCCCTGAGGCAAACCTGCTGTTGCTACGTACATAACATGCACGTTACGTTACCTAGAACAAGTTATTTGGGTTTGTTTTCCCATCTGTAAAGTAGGGTAATAGTAGTAGCTATTCATGGGTAGATACAAGAATTAAGTAATATATTAAAACTTAACATAGTACCCGGCAGATATTATTATTTATTATTACATGTTGGAGGTGAGATATGCTACCATTCACCCTCCTCTATGTTCAATGTCAAGACGACCTTGGCGGCAAAGGCGTCTCTCCAGGGCATCCTGACACTTTGCTCAAGCTCCCTGGAGTCCTCCACGCAGGAGGAGGTGCTTCGAGCCCACTGTCCTCTTGGAAGCTCAGAGACCTGCGGACAGAAGAGCGTGAGGCCTTCTAGTGCATCAGGCCTGCCCCGATGCAGGGTCGGGGACGGGAGGCGCTTGCAGTGACACTGCCGGTCAGCTAGACGATCTTCTCTTTGAGACATACCCTTGCCCCAGAGCGCTTCCCTGACAAGAGAAGAGATTTGCTAACAGCTATTCTATGAGCCCTGATAGGAATATAGGCGGGGGGCTCTGCTCCTGGGGTCCCCTCCTCCGTGGGAATCCTGCGCTTGCTCAGAGAACACTCTTCCACACGAGGCCAGGTATCATGAAGATGGCAGGCCTTCCTGATCACCCCACGCAGGCAGACATTCGTGGGACCCACACCCAGGCAAGCTGAGCGCCAGCATCTGGGACAGACTTCGCCCCCTCAGCCTCTGTCCAGGCAGCAGTCACTTCTCTCTGCGCTTCAAGCAGCTCTGAGGCATTTCCAGAGGGCAAAGTCCAGGGTAGAAACCGGGTTGCAGAGGCCCTTCCCAGTTGTTGGTACAGAAATGGAATTCTGGAGGGCAAGGGGGTGCTCCGAAGCGCCTTCCTAGCACATGGGCTGGACAGGGCGGTGGGGATTTAAGTCGTATGTTTTAGCACTGCGAGGCGGGGCTGACTGTCTACTAATCCAGACGTTCTGCCGCTTGTTTTGCTCTGAGCGAGGCTGGCAGGCAGCGTGGTAAGCAGGTGTGTCCCTGGCGGCAGGGACCTCGGGGTGGCCGGCACGGTTACTCTCTGGGGCATGCCGGGTGGGTGGGGAGCTCTGCAGCGGCGCTGGCTTCCTGCCTAAGGAAACCCCACCCGCACTTAGGGGCTTACTCTACGCGCCACCTCTGCTCCAGGAGCCTGCCCTTGATTTCCTTCCCGCGTTGTCTGGGCTCGCTTCTCCCGAATGCCCCGCGCCTTGCTGCTGCCACCCCCACTCCCCGTGTGCGGTTCTGGACAGCTGTGTGGCTAGAAGCAGCATGGCAGCGGGAACCCAGTGCAGGATTGAATCAGACTGAGTCCCGCGTTCACTGGGTGACGCTTGGGCATGTGGCTTAACCTTTCTGAGTCTTCAGTCCCTCATCTAGAAAATAAGAATATTCCATTTGTTGTTTGAAAGATTAAGTGTAGATACTGTCCCTTTTTTCAGACTCTACCCCTTTAAAAAAAAAAAACAAAACCTACTACTCATTTTTTATTATCCCTAGCACCTGGCACAGTGCCTGGGACATAAGTAGGTACTCAGTAAATGTTTATTTGAATCAAATGAATTACTTTTAGCACAGATATTTCTCAAATTTTCTTGTGTGCTATTTATCATTCCCTTAATAACTTTAGCCCATATTGTGACATCTGCAGCCTTGTAGTGGAGGAACTAGAAGACACACAGACATCTGCAGGGAGGGCACGCGTCCCACGGGAGTTCAGAGCACCTTGGAAATCTGCATGTTATTTGCTGCCCAGATCAGAATGATGCTGCCGGGATAGGTGTAGGCTGGCTTTGATGATCCATCTAATATGGGTTTGTTTTTTCTTTCAGATTCTTAGAATTTGCACCAGGTACACCCCAGAACAAGACACCATGACTTTTTCAGATGGCCTTACCCTAAATCGAACTCAGATGCACAATGCCGGATTTGGTCCTCTGACTGACCTTGTGTTCACCTTTGCCAACCAGCTTCTGCCTTTGGAAATGGATGACACAGAAACAGGCCTTCTTAGTGCCATCTGCTTAATCTGTGGAGGTACCAACTACCTAGAAAACCCTCGTGAGATTCCATGAAGAACAACTTATACTTGTAATTTATGGGAAATTCCTCATCTCCATTCTGGAGTTACTTTGCATGGAAAAAAGACTTGTGACTAAAGGCAGGCAGGCAGGCATGCGTGGGGTTTCTTGCATTTTTCCATGTTGCTAGAAGTTAAAGGTATTGGAGATCACTGTGCTCTGAGATACCAAAATGTTATTTCTCCAATTGCCACAGGTATTTTTCAAAGGCAAAGTCAAACTATTATAAAATTGACTGTCTAGGGACATTTTAATGACAACCCAAGGGACTTTGCATGTGCTGCTCACTAATTTAGTGGCCAGGAATACAAGTCACTGGGTTGGCCCTGCCCCCCCCCCCAACCCTGGGTAGGATGGAGATAAAATGTGGATTTCTATGTCGTGATCCCAGCTGGCTCGCAGGATGCCGAATCATGAGTAGTTAAAAAGTAAAGGCCGGGCCTCCCTGGTGGCGCAGCGGTTGAGCGCTGGGTTGCGAAGCTGCCCGCGGCCTCTGCGGCGCCGGTTCGATCCCCGGCTGCTCCCCGGCCACCAGAGGAGGGTCCCACATGGCGTGCAGACCTCTCCTGCTGCCCGCTGCTCCCCTCAGCAGTGTACTTCGGTCCTTCTGCCTGCTCTGCTCCCCGCTCTGGCTCTGGTGAATTCTCTCACCCTCCCGCGCTTCTGACTGTACCCAGTGCATGTATAAACAAAACAAACAAACAAACAAACCAGCAAACAAATAAATAAAGCATGCCTCTATAAAAAAAAAAAAAAAAAAAAAATAAAAAGTAAAGGCCTTCATTAGGGGCCCATTTTCCTTAGTTTTATTGCCGGTCTGCTCGAGGTTGGTTTGAATTTAGCTCAGTAGCGACACCTCCTGGTCACGAGAAGTAATTCTGTCCCTGGTTTCGGCAGCCATGAAAATGTGCTTTTGACATTGAGGGGCACAGTCATTTCAAGTATCACTGTTAAAAGCAGCTACACACCCCTTCAAATGTGTGTGTGATCGAGTCACCAGACTCTACCAGTCATGGCAGGAACAAGGGAAAAGGGCAATGTGCAGAAACCTCCTAGCCCGGAAAGTACGTGACGCCTTCTGTCCTGATGCCGTTTAATACTTTTTTCCTGGTTTCTAGACCGCCAGGACCTTGAGGAACCAACAAAAGTAGATAAGCTACAAGAACCATTGCTGGAAGCACTAAAAATTTATATCAGAAAGAGACGGCCCAGCAAGCCCCACATGTTCCCAAAGATCTTAATGAAAATCACAGATCTTCGCAGCATCAGCGCTAAAGGTATGTCTTCAGCGTCTCACTGTGTTGTTAAGTGAACCAGTGACCGGCGGTCCTAACCGGGTTGTGCTGCTCTGTACTACTCAGGATGTTTGACAATAGCTGCCTTTTTGTTGTTTTGGAATTAATTTCTCACAGAAATTAAGAGGAATTAAATAGTACCCACCATGGGGGGGGGGGAAGACCTCAAATCTTACCTTACTCGTTGATCTTCATAGATTTTTAACCATCAGATAAAGTGGTTTGAAAGCTGTTTTCAAAGAATACTATACATTGAGCATTTAAATTTGAGTTTTATGCATTTTATCCTAATTTGCCACACATGTTCTGGTTTATATAAACTTGACTCCAGGTTTTCCTGAACATCCAAACCTTACAAAAAATGAACAGTACTTAGGGTAATTGTTATTGGCTAAGTTTCCCTCTCAATCAATGTAGCCATTGCTCTCTCGTGTGTAGGCAGATTTACTTCTGCACACTTCTAAGCAAAGGAATTCTTGCCTTCCTAAGAGGCATAAATATTCTCTGCCTGGTGATTTTCAGTTTGTGTGGCAACTCCAGCAATTACAGAAGTGCCTAGAGCCACATCACCGTTGAGTGTTAGAGCAGGGTCTGCAGAGAGAGAACTCAGCAGCTATCCCCGGTACCGAATGTGCTGTGATTTGTCACTCTCCTGCCCCATTAGCGTAGTCTCTCTGTCCCTGAAGACCTTGGCGAGCCAAGCGAACTTGCTCAACAGGAGTCTCAGTTCTTAAGCTCCTTGTCAGACCTTTCTCCAGTGAGACACTGAGCCCATCCCTAGCATGGGATTGAGAAGCAAACAGCTGCTATCACTGCTTTATGCCATAGAAATTATGGCAGCTTCAAGTCTGAAGCAGTAAGGCTGTTTAACCCAATACGATCACTCCGTCTCTACAAATAGCCACACCAGTATAACAGAATTGACTGTGGTTATGGAATATGCTGTAATCCCCACTGCTGATGCAGTAGCCATTGGTCACATGTGGCTCTTGAGCACTTCAAATGTGGTTAATGCAATGGGAGCACTGTTTTCAGTCCATGAATTTGAAGTCGCATGTGGCTAGTAGCCACCCCGTTGGGCGATGCCGGGGTATTCAGGTTGGTCATCTCTACACATTTCGTTAGTCAGCTCATTTCCTCTTTCTGTAGATAACTGGAGACCTTTCAACTGTCTCACTTTCAAAAAATACACTCTTTCTGGTCTTTTATGAGGAACTTCTCTTCGTAAATTTGGTTAAATGAATATATACTGATTTTTTTTTTCTGAAATTGAAGCACAGATTGTCAAACTTAAGCATGTTACCCCCTCTGTCGTGTCTACAGATAAAGTAATATCTATTACTTCTAATATTTAAATACTGTGAAATTAGGCTAGCCTGCGGGAGGCATTTGGTTTTCACCCATGTTAAAGTAGATGAAAGTTGATACCTAGTTACTCACCTAACTCCTTATCGCTACCAGATTTCTATTATCTCTTTCAAAAAGGTGCAGAACGTGTAATTACCTTGAAAATGGAAATCCCTGGATCAATGCCACCTCTCATTCAGGAAATGCTGGAGAATTCTGAAGGACATGAACCTTTGACCCCAAGTTCAAGTGGGAACACAGCAGAGCACAGTCCCAGCATCTCACCCAGCTCAGTGGAAAACAGTGGTGTCAGTCAGTCCCCACTGGTGCAATAAGACACTTTCCATCAACTTCAAACATTCCCCAGTAACTTCAGTTCCGGGATTTAAAATGCAAGAAAAAACATTTTTACTGCTGCTTAATTTTTGGACCGAAAATATATTAAAACTCAAGAAGGACCAAGAAGTTTTCGTATGTATCAATATATACTCCTCACTGTCTAACTTACCTAGAAATGCAAACTTTTTAAATTCTAAAAATCAGCCATTTCATGCAACCAGAAACTAGTTAAAAGCTTCTATTTTCCTCTTTGAACACTCAAGATTGCATGGCAAAGACCCAGTCAAAATGATTTACCCCCGGTTAGGTTTCTGAAGACTTTGTACATACAGAAGTACGGCTCTGTTCTTTCTATACTGTATGTTTGGTGCTTTTGTCTTGCATACTCAAAAATGACCAAGCCACACCATGGTTATAAAACAGACTACTGTACATGTCCAGCTCAGAAAGGTTCAAAACGATGACTGTCTTGCCTTCACAGGAGAATCAAGACATCAAGGTAAGGAAATGGGACTATTGTACAGTATGACAAGATAAGGCTAAAGATTTTCTAATTTAGTTAGTATGGAAGCTTGTTCTTGCAAACTGCATCTTTTATTTCATGTTGCCCAGTAAAAGTATACAAATTCACTGCACTAGCAGAAGAGAATTCTGTATCGGTGTAACTGCCAGTTCAGTTCATCAAATGTCATTTGTTCAGTTGTTAATGTCACTTTAAATTAAAAGTGGTTTATTACTTGTTTAATGACATTACTACACATTTTTAAAAAAAGATACATTTTTACAGTAATGATAGCCTCCAAGGCAGAAACACTTTTCAGTGTTAATAAGTTTTTGTTTACCTATTCACAAGCCATTAGGGGAATTTCATGGGCGAATGAGCAGGCTGGTTTACCACCTGTACCAAGTAACTCTGTTGTCCTTCCTGATTCATGCCTGCTACGGGGTTTTTTTTTCCCAGCCTTCTTCATGCCCAGTGGCTAATATTAATTCCCCGAGGTATGGGCAGAATCTGCATCCTTTGACCTTGTTCAATCACTATGAAGCAGAGTGAAAGCTGTGGTAGAGTGGTTAACAGATACAAGTGTCAGTTCTTAGTTCTCATTTAAGCACTAGTGGATTTTTTTTTTTGATATATTAGCAAGTCTGTGATGTACTTTCACTGGCTCTGTTTGTACATTGAGATTGTTTAACAATGCTTTCTATGTTCATATACTGTTTACCTTTTTCCATGGAGTCTCCTGGCAAAGAATAAAATATATTTATTTTAAAGGTGTGTGGGGAGCCTTTTACTGCAGTTTCATGTTCAGGAAAGAGACAGAAAACACAGTTCCATTTTTAATGTTTAAATTTCATTTCAAAAAGCAGGTTTGTAGTCTGCAACCATGACAATTAAAATCTGTGCTAATGCACGGCAGTCTATAACAATTCTACAAGCCAATCAGACAGTACATGACATTTCAATGAGTAAAAAAGAGCATAAAACTGTGTGTAAGAACAAAATGTTAAAAGGCCTACCACAATAATAAAAAACCATCAATTACATCATCACATTAAAATAAGCCAGATGTACAAAAGTCTGAGACAGAAAAGACAAAAGGACAACACAAGGTATTTGTTAAAATGTTTCTGTGCTCTTTGGGCACTTAATTAAACATTGCAAAATCAACATCTTCTTCTTCATCAGACTCTGCAAAATATTTTACTTCTTTCCTAGCCCGACCGGTCCGTGGCAGAGAAGGTGGTTCAGAAGTGAAGTCTGATGGGAAGATATCCACATCTGAATCCTGATCAAAAGATGTTTTCTTCGGTTTCTAGACATTTAAAAAAGATTTAAAAACCCCTAGTGGTTGTAAAGAATTGTTCCGTACACTTGTGCTATATTTGGGAACTATTACAAAGAATGTGCTTTTTAAAATCAGAGTTGTAATTCTAGTGTTAAGATCAGTTACCTAATCATTTTTATGAAGGGGGAAAAAAAGATTAATTTCTCACCCTGAGGAGCGCACACTGTCACCATTACTTTCTCTCAATTACCTGTCCCAAGTGGAACCATGACGGCCCAGTTATAGAAGACTGCATGGGAGAGGTAAATGTAATGAGCAGCATAAAACTACAATCATCTGTATTTTTAAGTTTTGACAGGAAGAGAGGTAGGTGACATTTGATGTGTTCTATTTTTAACCTAAAAGCTACTGGAAAAACTAGCTCTGGTCAAATGAATTCAAGTTAAAAAGAAATAGCCTTTATTTATCTGAAAGATGATATTTCAGACAGGTAATGTGTAACTTCTGTTAAATAAGTAAGCTGATTTATACCGTACTTATATATCCAGGAAATAGTCTTGATTATGAAGATTTATGTTTGATAAGAGATGCTAAGTTCAGAGCTATTACAAGATCTACATAGATCATCTTAAAACCACATATTAAAAGATGCTCCACATTACCTTGCTTGTTGTTTTGGCTGTCTTCCTGCCAGGGTTATAATCACCTTCATTTTCAGAGCCAGACGCTTTCCTTTTCTTAGCCCCTCGACCTTTACCTTAAAGTGAAACACAGGTTTAGTGTACATACAAAGAGATAAATGTCAAAATATTAAACTATTTACATGCTCTGCTCAGTACTGCAATCCTGACCTCTTAAAATCTGGCAGTTCTGGTGTTGACATTACTAAAGAGTATTTCAAAAATAATTTAAATTAGTTGGAAGGTCTGGTGACAAATTTTAATTACCTGATAAAGCAGTTATATTTTACCTATGTGGTCTGTGAGCTTGAAAAGAAAATATTTTTAGCTTCTAATTTTTCCTAGAGCAATAACATACAAAGAATACAGTGTGAGTTCCTAGAAAGGTAGTGCCTACTTTTAAATGTTTAAATGCTTACTCTACACTGTACTTACCACACACTAATAACAACCAGTTGCAGGCCCCACTTTAAGTAACCATCCTAGAATTAACTGCTAGCATGAATCATGCAATAATCTGAAAACTCTTTCTTCTTAGACCTAGGAGCACCACATGCAACCTATTGTTTTCATCTACCTAACGTCTTACTCTCATCATTAAAGGAAGAAGGGGAAAAGGTAATATATTTAAATAGTAACCAACGTTTGTCCCACTATGCCAATGAAAGAAAATTAAATTGTAATTCTGAATTTTAAAAAATGCCTTAAGAATTATAACCAACAAGTAAGATACTAGCACTTCTGACTTTATAAAGTTTCAGAGTATTGACCTATCGCACTGTTTGATGGTATCTGTCAGTTGGTCAAAAGATTGAGTAGCTACCCTTACAGAAAATTATGTCTCATGTATATTTTTTCAAAGCAGTTTTAAGGACATTCTAGAGGTACAGCGGGGTCCCAGGGAGAACTGGTGCCCTCGCATGGCCCTGAGAACAGCCATTTCATTTCCCGGATGAGCAACAAGCTGTGGTCTAAGACTCCTAGCTCCAGCGTAATGTAGAGAATGTCATAATTTATTTAGTGAAAAGCCTTCATCTGCTTTTGCAATAACTACTTCCAATGAGTTGGCTGAAGAGGGTGTTTGAGTCTTAGTTTCTACATTTCTAAAACAAAATGACACAAAATTGCTCTATTTCCTTTGAATTCAGCACTGACTCTTACACGTACTGCTTACTGAAGAATGAGGAAATTCACAATAAACTAAGTACACAGTCTCTGTAAATTCAGTGAATAGAAGAGACTAGACATTTTCCACACGGCATTGCTTAGAGGATTACACCAAGGCTGACACCTCACCTTTGGGTGTTGTAGTCTTCTTTGGGATGCCAAATTCTGAGTCTGAGTCAGAGTTTACAGTCTCTACTTTCTTCTGTTTGGGGGCTCTCTTGGGCTTAGGGATTGCATCTGAAGATGGTTTTCCTATTAAGCAAATTCCCATTTTATAGATTAATGTGAAATACTTACCAACAGACCAGGCTGAAATGAGTCCTATAACAATGGCATTTCTTAACTGTTGATGTGGGTTAAGTAGTTTTAAAATGGTTTCTGTCTCCTTGGTGCCAGTGTAAAGGCAAACACTTTCTCATGATGGCAAATATTTTTTATTCAATTATTCATAATTTGCCTTTTGATATTTCAAGCGAGGTATTTTAAACAAGGACCATTAAAATGAATTAACTTTTAAAGCAGCAGTACAAATATAGTATAATCGAGACCAAAAGAAGTATATCTGATATATTAATTATACCCAAATATAACCCCATGTTGAGTTCAAACTTTTAAAACGTTCAGAGAAAAAATATTTTTATGGGACCCTCAAATACCATGAATAGAAACCAATTCACTTCCATAAAAAAAGCAACCAATGGATTTCAGCTTATGTGGAAACATGAAAATTCTAGGTAAGTAAACAACAGACCCAAAGGCCTGTCTTTCATTAATTTTTCAAAAATGTATTGAATTAGTCACTACTCTTCTAAAAACCAAACACCCATGCTAGTTCTTTGGAAAATGTATTCCCAGTCCCAGTTTGAGCAAGGCCCCTCAATAAAACAATAGGAGGAGCCCATGCTCTTATGGGAGTAGCAGCCACGGAGTGTGTAGCTTTGCCCTCTCTGCATCCTTCATGACTAAAAAGGCTCTTCATACCAGAAGAGCCTTGTGGCAGCTCCAAGCGTAAGTACAGGCCCGACATAGCAGGGGGTTCTAGAGCACCACTGTTTTCAGAAGAGTTTCTGGACTTGTGTTAGATGACACCTTCAATTCTATGGTGGCTTTTTGCTCACAGGAGCTTGATGAAGTAAATGAGTTGATAATGTTCAAAAAAGTGATGTAGCTCCCAGGTTTTCATGTCAGTTCTAATATAAGCTGTTCATACAAAGATAAATGATGTGTAAAGGAAACTTAGAGTCTGTGAGTTCCACAGAAGTGACCCCAAGACAAATACACACTTAGGAGGTGAAGGAAAGGAGTACATAAATGAGACAGTGAAGAAAGGACAGCCAGTAATGAGTAAACTCTCATGTCTGTTATCATTCTGGGAGCTTACACCCTGTGAGGAATCTCTGAGAGCCAGCATAGAACACACATCCCAGAGTCAGTGCATCGAAAGGACAAGAAACTAGGACATTTGTAGCTCACCTTTCCCCAATCACTGGTAAAGAAAGATAGGGCCAGGGAAATGCTAATCTTTTAGCATTGCAAAAACAGATAGTCCTCAGATAAAGAAATATAGACATTGGTCTTTTGCACTGAAGTGGTAACAGAGAGTAAGGGCGGGACACCCAATGCTTTGGTTAGAGAGATTCCTGTAGCCAACCAATTTCTCACCACAGTCCTAGTGTGCTCAGAGTAAGTGGGAACTTTTTTAGAAAGTGTTGTTCTGTTACATCTAATACATGTGTCTACAATAGTACTGTCTGCTGTATAATTAAGATCCCAAAGGAATGGTCCATAGTGTTTAAAAACATAGCTGCTACTTTGTACAGCAAGTAAATAAACAAAGCACTAAAGGTGACCTTCAAAAATTAATTAATGGACAATCTATGGCATTAGAAAAGCAGCTATGTGACTCACAAAGAAAAAGTCATGAATTAAATCAAATGACCATTCATTCCATGTGAGGAGTAAAGCCTAACCCTACACAGGTAACACAATCAGGCTACTAGTAGAAAGACTACAACTATAGGAGAGCGTTACTAGAAAGCTAACTTTAGATATCAATGCATGGGCATCTCATTTTAAAGTTATACTGCAAAGTTTCAAATAACAGTAAACTTTAACAACTACCTGTTATGTTTTGCTTTTGTTAATCATTGCAAAAATCATAAATACATACCTTTTTTAGCAGCTGCCGTTTTACTTGGACCTTTATCTGTTTGTTTCAGACCAAATGATGGTGAAAAAACAGAAGCAGAATCTTCTTCATTACTGTCAAATTTAGCAGAATCTAAAATTACAAAGCTTTTGTTCAGTAAGAGCTTGTGTGTGGGCCACTTAATACTTTGATTCTTTTTACTGATGACTTCTCTTTAGCTAAATAAGTGATCTTAGAATTTCTATTCTGTGATCACATATACAATATACTAACAGCAGAAAATGAAACTAACAATGTTTTTCACCAAAAATGTTAACTCCATTGTCACCCCATACATTTCTATATTGTTTAAAATTCTTAATAGTCCCAAATATTATTTAAAATGACATGAATATCAGTAATGATGTTCAAATCATAGTAAATATTCATATCTCTGAATCAATTTTAAATTACTGAAGATTAACTTATAACGCACAGAGGCTTACTAACTTCAGTTTACTTTTATACTTAATCTCATCCTCTATCCCTCCATTTCTCAAATTAACTCTTCTATAAGACTATTTTGTATATATTTAGATATGCTGTCAAAAATGCTCATCTGTCTATACATATAGAATATGTACCACAGATATATAAATATATTTGTTCATAAAAATACATGACAGTGAATCAATTAAATCTAACTAGATTGGCTTACTTCAAAAATTCCAGACAAAAAAAATAAGGAATAAAAATATATGCCAATTAAATTTGTTTCTATGAAGGCTTTAATCTTTCAGCTACTAGGGTAATTTAATAAAATATATTTGACAGTTTTTTAAGAAAGCTGTTAAGATTATTAATATGCACATATAAATAAATTTACATTGCCATAATCAAATTTCAGTATTCCTTCTAAATTTAACTTTTTCCTCTCATTAAAACTATCAAACCCTTTCGCCCCCCACCCCACAGGTTAGCATCTGCCTGTCCACCTAAATGTTTTCATAATGCCTATTTTGACTAATCAGTTGGAAGAGAACTAAATAATCCTTGTAATATTGAGGAAAATACAAAAAGGAGGTAAGTTTTCTACTCAAAAAAATCCTGGAATTAAATCATGATGTAATTTTTCTCCACCAACACACAGCACTAATACAATTAACCAATGGGGGAAAAAAAACAAGCATACCATCTTCTGACTTCTGAGAGTATGAAGGAAATGAGAAGAGATTCCCAAAATCTTGACTTTTTTTGTCATGTGAAGATTTTCTATTAAAAAAATTATATACCACAAAGAGGAAATTTATAATTTATCAAGACTGAAACCAGATATATAAAGTTATAATCACCTAAGAAAATTTTAGTGCATACATACACAGATGGAAACTGACCAAAGACTTAGTTATTAAAAATACCACTAAATTAAATTTTATGAAGAAAGTCAGGCAATAATCCTACTATCTTAGACTACAGATGGTAAAATAGTTCATTTAAAAAAATGTGTAAAAACAGAGCCTCCCTGGTGGTGCAACAGGTTAAACACTATGAAGCTATCCGCAGCCTCTGCAGTAAGAGTTTGATCCCCCAGCCCGCCAGGGAGCAACCCACATGGCACAGCAGACCTCGCCCGCTGCTCCCCTCAGCAGTGTATTTCAGTCAATCTGCCTGTTCTGTCCCCACTCTGTCTCTGGTGAATCTTCTCACCCCGCACCTCTGGCCTGAACCCCAGTTCTTGTATGCATAAATAAAACTTAAAAATGTGTAGTGACAGTACTTGGTAACATACATGATGTGAACCAATGTTAATTAAAAATAAAGTGAACGGTTCAGTAGCTTCGTACATATTGAAAAATTCTGAACTAGTTCACAAACTGCACATCCTACATGTTAATGTTCAAATCTAGGGAAGAAAATTAAACCTCCCAATTCCAAAGACGTAGTAAGTTTTCTCTGAACCAGGGGTTGTCAAACTGTCCCATAGACCTGCCATCTGTCTGTAAACAAAATTTTAGTAGGACACATTCACATACTCTTTAGGGCAGCATTGAGTATAGACAGATATGAGAGAGGCCATATGGACTACAAAGCCTAAAATATTTACTATCAAGTCCTGTAGGAAAAAAAATGCCAACTTGTGCTCTAATCTATAGTAAGAGTTATATAAACACTTGCAATACTAGCAAGATTCATTCCTTCTAAAGGAGTACCTCCTCTAGAATAACAATTTCTTATACCTTATGGTTTTCACAGGTGCTCAAACTACCATGTAAGTGAACAAAAGTTGCTTCATTACTTACTCTGGGGTAGTTTTTGATTTGCCTGGTGAAAATGTATATTCATCTTTGTCTAAGCCATCTGAAGGAACAAATTCATCTTCCCCATCATTTGTTACAGGAGATGCTTTCACTTTCAATTCCTCTAAATCATTATTGTCATCGTCATCATCAGCATCCTCGTCCTCTTCTTCCGAGAAGTCAAATGTGTACTTAGGCCTTTCGGCTAGGAGAGAAACAAAAGTGAATATTAAATTCATACCCAGCTTTATTCACATGAAACTACTAATAATGAATTTAAAAATATTCTAGTTATCTCTAAAAATACACAAGGCAAAAACAGATAAGCATTTAAACACTAAAAGCCAACAACTTTGGTTTCAGTTATTTTAATAATGTTAATATCTGTCTTACACGTCCCAGGAGACTACAAAGTAATGCTGCATATGTTAGAGAACTAATGAGAATATCAGAATGATGTCTGTCATACACAGGCATATGGCCACTTCAAAAGTAACTAAGATTTCCCATTTCAACCATTACAAAAGAAATTTCACAGGTCTTTAGAATGTGCTAAACTTTCTCTTAACTTCTTCCATAAAATTTTCTATCTTCACAATAGTTTAGCTGTGAAATAACTAATTTTTCAGATGAGTGAGAAAAATAGGAGATGTAAAGCTTCAATGTATTAACAAAGTAATAATTCATAAAAAGGTAACAACTATGAGGAAAGACACTCTAGTATATAATGCAAATAAGTTACTCTAATTTCTAATATATACTATGAAATGAAATTTAAAAATTAGTTTGGTGCTGTGTAATTTCATACTCCATTTTGGAAAAAATCTAAAAATTAGGTATTTAATACATTTTCATTGTAACTGAATTTACTCATGTCACAACTTTGCCTACAATATACCACCTATACACGTTAGGAAAAAGAAATTCAGGCCCTTGGTGATTACAGAACCACAAAATTTAAGATCTAATATATAATTTAAAAATTATCTCCCAAAGTAAAATAACCAAGTTCCCATGATTCACTTTAAGTAAATTAGAACTTAAGACACTCCTCAATTTTTAATTATTTGATGACCTCAATTTAATGAATGTTTGGAAAGAAACATTCAGCAAATTACAATAAATATGTAATAGCAAAATGAGATTCGACTGCCTAACTCAATCACTGCAGTTATCTAAATCATGCTATATACATGGAGTAAGGCTCCTAAAGTAGAGGGAAATTTGTCCTGATACAAGTGGTAGAAAACAAAGCCCTTTTATTGATCTATCACTATTGGTATATTACCAAGGTATATTTTTCACCAAACATTTAGACTATGAAGAAAATATAATCAAACTTTTAAAAAATTCTATTAAACAATTTTTTTTGTCTTTAACTGTAACTTTTGAAATACTAATGATTTAGTGCTTCAGCAACATGGATAATACTAGCATACCAATTATACTAACTTGGTCAAACTATAATATACAACAAACAAAATGTATCACAATACCAGCTGCTCTTCTAAGCAAAGAATCTCTTGGAATAACCACAGGTTCTGTTTCTTCCAAGTCACTTTCTGACTTGGATTCATCGTCTGACCAAGGATTCCGTTTCTTCACTTTCTTTGTGCCGGCTTTACCAGATGAGGTAGGTGTTTTTCTCACCCTGGTACCTAAAACAAAAAAAAAGAAAAAAAAAAAAAAAAAGGCAGTCATACAAGCATTGAGATATATCTATCTATATATATACACACACACACATATATATGCACAAGACATAACAAAAATAAGCATAATTAAAACAGCCCAGTAATAACCTGCACAGATTTTCTCACAAAAATACTTGTAAGAATTCCTTACCAGGCTCCTTTTTCTCTCTTTTGGGTTTGGGACCTTTATTTACAGGAGCTGATGGGATCAACGCCTCTTCTGTCCCTTCTACTGGTGTCCCACTGAACTCTTCATCAAATTCTACTTTTACTGCTGTAGTATCAACATCCCCCTAAACATTAAAAAAGAAAACCAAACTATGAGTAAAAATAAAAGTTAAATTAACAACTTATGTTTTAGAGATACATTTCTAGCCAATAGACTGCTGCTTCATATCAAGTGCTTAAAAAATAATAAAATGTGATTCTACTGAGGTTTGAATAGACCACTTTGATCAGATCATGTTTCACTTTATCTGCAGCAAATGCTATTACTTACCGCTCTGACACACTGAGATGATGGCTACATAACAGCAACCAAAAAAACCAAGAAGGCAGCTTTCGAATACCAAAGGGATTTTCACACCAACAGTTAAATATACTATAAGATATCTGCAAAGTTAGTTCCTGGAGCTCAGACAGTTCTATACTAGACAACAAAATCCTGCAGTTTATTGAAGGAAAATAGGTAACACACATCGCGTACCGCTAAGCGTTACAAGACAAAAATCCCTCTTGCCTCGGACCCTAAGGTGAGAGGCAGAGACGAGATATTACAATAACAAATATAACAGTGGCTGATGGGCAGAAAAGAACAACTCTGCCTAGGGCAGGGTCAGGGAAGATTCCATAGAAAAGGACCCTTTCTGATCAGGTCTGAAAGAACCATGTATGTATGCCAGGTAAGGAAAAGGAAGGAGGGAAGAGCATTACAAGCAGAAGACACAGAGACATGAATTACCACCTAAGATTAGGAAATTGCACAAAGCCTGCTAGGATTCAAGAAGAGACAAGACAAAAGTGTAGCCAAAAAACAGGAAAGCATGCAGATACTACATAACTATCTCATCAACGGAAAGTCACTGAAAGCTTTTAAACACTTGTGTAATAAACTGCCTTTTTGGAAATATCACTCTGGTGTTAATAGTGAGAGGAATAAAGTGGAGAAAGGTAGAAGTGAACTAGGAAGACTAGTTAAGAATACTTTTTAAGTTGTTCAGGGAAAACTTACGGTATTGTAAGACAGTGTCACTGGTGACCAAAGTAAGGGGGTGGATTTTGGAACTGCTTCATAGCAACTAATAGGATTTAATTACTGATTACATAACTCCAAGGTTTTTTGACTTATGTTAGTAATGGCTGATAGTGCCAGTAACTGAAATAAAAACAGCAAAGAACAGGTTTTGATATCAGAATAAAGGTTCAATGTCAGACATGCTGAGTTTGAGGGGCATGCGCTTCAGTACATGAACCTGGCACACCTGAAAACATAACAGCTTAGGGACAGAGACATGAGTCAGCAGCATGAGTGGATAAAGCTCTAGGTATTGATGAGGTTACCTTAGGAATCTATGTAAGGTGAAAAGAATGCTGAGAACTCAACCTGCCAAGTAGCAACTATAAATGAGAGAAGCCATCTCCCCAAGGGGAAAGTAAGTACACAAGTGAATCTGTATGGTGGGGAGCGAGATGATCAGAAAGTAGTACAGACCACAGATTAGCAAGAGTAGAAGAGGGGGGATCTTACAGGTATCACAATGCTCCTGTGCTTCAAAATATTAGCTCTGTATAGAAAACTCTCCAATCTCTAGCTGTTAGGCTTATTTCTCAAGCTCTAACAAGACTGTTGGATACATCTCCTTATACATTTCCCTGGGTTCTAAAAACAACCTATGCAGAAAAACTAGCCGTTCTTTCAGACCATCATGCCTCCTATTTCCCCAGCTCGGAACAGCTTCTCAACATTCCTTTCTTCTGCTTACTCTGGCCATACTTTTAAATCCCCAGTAGCACTAATCAATGTCAAAGACATAGGATGTGCCTGATGAGTTCTTAATTAAGAGTAAAAAACAAATCAATTGTAAGAGATGATAGCTAACTTCAAAAGCCAAACAGTTCTTTTTCCAATGGAAGACTTCCTTAAATTGGTCATGATATAGAATTACAGTTTATATCTTAAAGTTAAATTTAGAATGTTGCTGAGTAGAGTATTTCTAGCTTTCACTGTAAAAATGGAATCAAGCAAGCAGCTCTTTACATATACATGGGTCCTTGATGAATATTTCCCTTCTATGGAACAACTGCTTTCATAGAACAAAGGATTTCATATTACAAATAAAATCTATTAGAAACAAAATAAAGCATGCTTTAAGCACACAGTAAAATTAAAACACAAATGTATCATCATGCAGGTGGAGTTTCCCAGTGAGCTAATAAACAAGGTATTTTATACCTTCTTCTTCTTCAGCAACTTTTTGCTGGCATCTGCCTTCATAGCAGAAATTTCAGGAACTATTCTTCTCCCATATGGTGAGGGCATGGTCTCTTCCAGTTGAAGTTTCTTCATCTTCGGTTTGCCAACTTTACCTTTTATTGCTTTTCCTGCCATTCCAGCCAGAACATCTTCTCGTTCTTGTGCTTCCACTTTCTGAAGTATAATTACAAGGGAGGAGGGGAACGAGCAGGTGCGTAATAAACAATATTGTCTAGAAAAGACAATCGCTCCTACTTAAACTGAAACTAATTTTACTCATGCCATAAAAAAATAAATGATTGCCTTTCAACTGATCAGAGATGAAATAATAAAAAAATTCTAAGTCAGAAGACATGGGTTTTGATCTCAATTCTAACTAGTTTCTCATTTGTAATATACATGGAATGTATTCATGTACACATTTAATGTAATACAAATACAGGGGGTATTAACTAAATGACCTATATGGCCCCTTCCAGTTCTAATATCCTATATTATGAAATCAAGACCCATTATCGTTGGAATCCTAGCAAATCATACACCAAGGCATGCCTGTTAAGTATGACACTACTATTTACTACTGTTTTTTGCCAAAGTAAAAAAATATGAGAACTGTTCATAAACAAAACTACAGCATGAAAAATTTAAAGTGTCACTACAGTTGATTAAATTTATGAGTTCAATGTAATAAGTGGGGATATAATGATGAATAATGCTAAAGAATCTTCCTTTTGCAAAAGCATTCCTTCAAATAATTAGCAAGCTTTGAAAGAAGGGAAAAATGCCATCTTGAAATCTCTTAAAAGATAAATTAAAAAATCCATGTATAGCTTAAAAGCTGAATAAAAATAACCAGCTTTGAAATCAGACCTGCCTGGATTTCAGTCTTAGAACTTCTACTTATTCATTATATAGCCTAACTATGTAGTAGGCATTAAAAAATCATGTAGACCCCATTTTATGAATGAAACAGGGCTGAGAGAATGAAGTAATTACTCTTAACCATAATAATGTCTCTGTAAATTATTTAACCTCTCTAAGCTTAGGATTTTCATTTGTGCAAGAGGTTTAAAACAACCTCTCTTACTTGGGGGTGGGAGGGTCACTGAGGATTACACAGAATGCCATGCTAACACATGATAGTCACTGAATGGTATCATTAGACATATGATAGAGACATGAAATTTAAATCTTTTTAGATGTTTGAAACAAAAATATGCCCACATGAGGGCCTCCCCGGTGGCACAGCGGTTAAGCGCTGGGTTGCCAGGCTGCCCACAGCCTCTGCAGCGCGGGTTCGATCCCCGGCTGCTCCCCGGCCACCAGAGGAGGGTCCCGCATGGTACGCAGACCTCTCCTGCCACCCGCTGCTCCCCTCAGCAGTGTACTTCGGTCCTTCTGCCTGCTCTGCTCCCTGCTCTGGCTCTGGTGAATTCTCTCACCCTCCCGCACTTCTGACTGTACCCAGTGCTTGTATAAATGAATAAATAAATCTTTAAAAAAAAAAAATGCCCACATGAAATGAGTTGTTCAGATCAACTTCAATCATCAAATAATAATGTTAAGAATTATAAGTGAGGGCCTCCCTGGTGGCACAAGGCGTTAAGACGCAACTTATGAAGCTATTTGCAGCCACTGCAATGCAAGTTCAATCCTCAGCCAGGGAGCTACCCACATGGCGCAGCAGACCTCTCCTGACTCACCCGCTGCTCCCCTCAGCAGTGTACTTCAGTCGATCTTCCTGTTCTGCTGTTCTGTTCCCCACTCTGTCTCTGGTGAGTCCTCTCACCCCCCCACACACACTTCTGTCCTGTACCCCAGTTCTTGTATGCATAAATAAATCTTTAAAAAAAAATTATAAGTGAAAGAGTAATATTCACTGGGAATGAGTACTGACTTTTCAATAGTAATGAAATACACAGGCATAACCAAAAATGGTTTCATGTCTCACTATATTAATCATCAGTGATAAAACACTAGGATATCATTAATATTAATCAGAAATCAGAAATTTTCCTTTTAATGTATGCTTATTTCATTTTTAATGGATTTCATTTTCATTCGTTTCACAAACATTACCAACTCAAATTTATTTTAATGGAACTTAACCTACTTCCAGTTCTTCAACAAATGCTGCTAAATCTTCTTTCCAAAGATCTGAAGGAGATTTTCTTTTAAGATCATTGACCTCTCGCCCCTATAATAAAAAGTGGTATGATTTAAACATAAAACATTTTTAGTTGTATTTTAAATTGTATGAAAAGTAAGTATAAGTACTTATTTTTGGAAAAAGAAAAACAAAGATGATAACACTGATATAGTTTCAAATTATTTAACCCACAAAAATTCATACTTTTGTATCTCTCTGTTTAATCAGCTCGTCAACTTTTTCTTTAGTTAGTGACCACAGAGACATATTTAAAATATAATTAAAATCAGGGCCTGAAGGAGTTCCTGAATCAGAGGAACTATCATCATGCTGGGTTTGTGTTTCTTCCTCTTCCGCTGCCTGTAAAAAATAATAAACTTTATATTAAAGTCCTGTATAGTATCAAATTAATGTTGAATTTTCTCGAATACTGAATTTACAATTCCACAAATGCTATACTCCTAATGCTACATCTTTAGGCTGACAGAGTTTTTTTAGATTATCTGCTAAATTAGTTACAAAGAAAATTAACTGTTTTGCCCAGACACTACATCACAAAATGAGAAGTCACCGTATCTTAAAATTAATGGAGAAATAATATTTTATCATTGCATCTCGTCATATATTTTTAGTGATGAGTGAATGATTTGAAACCCAAAAAATATCACTATTGAAGAATGTTTTACAGTTTTAATAAATAAGCAAAGGCATAGTGACTAAGGATGGATTCTTAAGAAAAATCCTCTAAAGCAAGTATATTAATGTAAACACTGAGAAATAGTTCACTTAAGAGTTGGGATAGAGTAAGAATTGTGAGGGCTATCCTAAAATTTCTCATGTCTTTCTTCACTGAAATGATTACAGTTAAAAAATCCCCTTAGCCTGGGGGCAGTGAGGGGGTTATTAAAAAAAAAAAATCCCCTTAGCCTAATATGAAATTTCACAAGCCAATGAATTAGAGGTTATTATATGTAACAACCCCTTTAAATTTTAAATAACAGCCATTAAATAATCTAAATTGTTTAAGGCACTCAGATAACTTAAAATGACTGAATTAGCCATGGCCCGCTATAAAGCAAAGAAATTTTTAATTTCAGGAAAATAATGTATATAATAAAGTTTAAGTGTACTTTAGAAGAGATAAAAACAAAAATTGCCAAGATGCTTCATTACATAAAATTATAAATTCAGTTAAACAGCATGAGCCAAATAAGAAATGCTATTGTTGATAGATGATTAACAAGTACCTAGATAAATTCTGAAAAATTAATAAATTCTACAGTTTTTAAAAATTCATGAAACAATATGTGTTGCTATGGAATACTTAGGTTGTTATATTACTATTTAGGCATTACTAGGATGTCATAAAATGTTGTCTAGACCTGCACTTTAGAAATCTATTAGCTCTGTGTTTTGATGACTCACAATTATTAATGGAGGCTCTATGAATATGTGCATCTATCAGTATTAAAATAAGATTGATTAAGTATACTTTCAGAAATGAAGAAAAATTTAAGTTCCAGTAACAGAATTAGTTTTATGCATGTGAATAAACTCTAATCTTCTAGTCATCTGCTTTGTAATCCTCTCTTCTCCAACTCTATACAATGGGACACCCTTGTAAGAGCAGTTTCTTTCATTATCTGAACCCCTAAATTGAATACATGACCAAGATGCTGAGAAAACTTTAATGGTGACAATGAAGTTAAAACCAAACTCGAGGTTTTACCAACAAAGTCTACTTCCACCTGAAGGGGATTCTCAAACACTAAGTATCTTATCTTTTTAAAAATATGCATTAAATTCATTAGCTTACTAGTTATTTTTTTAAAGTTTTAGCCCACAGTTAATCAAAAGGGCAAGTAGGGTGTAAACCTTAATTTGGGGTTTAAAACATGCAATAAAACACTGAAAGAAAGGCATTCATCTTAATTCTGTATGTTTCCCCATTTTCCTCAAAAAATGAGTAAGCCTATTAATATGTAATTGCTAAACTATACATACTAGTTTTATTCGCTCTAATGTGTCATTCTATTGACTGTTCAAAATTGAAAAAAGTTTAAATCACATAAACAAAAGCAGTATTTCAATGTAGTTTGATGAAAAATATGAAAAACATTATGGTTGAGAACTTAAGTGTAGGGAAGTTTGAAGTTTCATTCAAGTATGTCACATGACCATAACTTTTTTTTTAAGATGTTAACATCAATATCGTATATACACAATAATCTAAATATCAAAAAAATTCCCAATTTTATTCCTCTTGTACATTTGTGTTCTCAATCACAATATTGTGCTGTCTTTAAATTTTTTTAATCATACTCAAGAACAAGAAACTAATTCTGGAGAAATCTCGAAGTTTCAATATTCCATTCATTGAATATTAGTACTTTATGATCTGAAATGGACAATTACTAAAACATCAGACTTTTAATCTGAAGTTCTAGTGTTTAAATCTCCTGCCAGAGATCTAAGCACAGCACAGAGCACATACCTGGTGCTCAATAAACACTGTAATCATGACCATTTTGTCTGTAGTCTTCCCAAACATAAACTGAAACCAATCAAGTGAATGGTGACTGGACACCACGTGACCATGGACTAACCAGTGTGAAATGATTTATGTGCTATCAGCATAGTTCCCAGATAGTATACATGCACCTCACAAAAACCACCACCACACTGACACCCTTGAATGGCAGGCTCAGAAAAAAAGGCCAAGGAGACTGAGCTACCTTCTCACACCTGGAGTCATTTCTCCAGGCCCTGGTTGAGTCACACTGGCAAAGTGCTTTGTGGTGGGTATGCACTGCAAATTCCTGTACTGTATCTGTTCTGTGGATAAACAGAAGACTTCAGTCTCCAGACAGACAACTCAGCACCTTTAGCAGTACTAAATTTAAATTTTAGGGTTTGGGTTTTTGGTTTGTTTTGAAGTTGCTTTTAAAAGCTTCTCTAAATGTCTTGTTCTGCAAATGATTACCTTTTCTTGTGCTTCTTTCCAGGCTTTCACTGGGTCAGATTCATAACCTCTCTGGACTAACATTTGAATCAAATCTTTCTTTGACCTATTCTCTATGTGAGGGAAAAATAAAGTTAGGATCAAGAAAAGAGATTCAATTTGTATTTGTTTATATTCTACTGATAAAAAATGTCTTCTATTAATTAAGATTTTTTTTTCCATTTTAACTAACGTTCAAATTTTTAAAGGTTATCTTACCTATGGTAATTTTCCCTTGTATCTTCTCTAAAATAAAACGGGCTTGATTGTTAAGTTTTGTAGATTCTGCTCCCAGCATTCCTACAAGCCACTCCTTACGTAAACCATAGTAACTTAATCGTAAATCAAAGAATTCTTTCAAAATGTCTTGCACAGTTTCATACTTTTTCAGGCATCCCATGTGATCAAAGAGCACCTGAGCAAAACACAAAGTTTTTGAAGATTACATAAATTGTATTGGTATTTTTGATTTGTGTATTATTTTAAATGCATAACCACAATACATTTAACATGGACACACACCAACCCATAAAGCCATTAAACAGAACCAAAACTATTAGGCACACTTCTGTAAATATTCCCGTAGTGATTCTAAAGAACAAATGAAAATATTTAAAATAGAAATAATTTTGAAAGATAAAAATAGGTCCTTAATAAAAGGTTTTTTAATAAAGTAGCTATAAAATCACCTAAGACAAACTTTTTTCCAAAGTAGAATTATACTTTCCTCTAAGTTTAAAAATGCTAAATTTAATCAGACAAATGCAAATAAAACCACATTGAGACACTACCTCACATTTGTGATGTCCCATATCAAAAAGACCAGAAACAACAAGTATTGGTGAGAGTGTGGTGAAAAAAGAACCGTCTACACTATTAGTAGGAACGTAGCCTATTCCAGTCTCTATGAAGGTTTATCAAAATATTAAAAATAGATGTACCATATGATCCAGCAATTCCACTCCTATGGGTCTACCTGAAGAATACAAAAACACTAATTCAAAGTGATACGAACACTGCTATGTTCATTACAGCACCATATTTCCAACAGCCAAACCACAGAAATAATCTAAGTGCTCAATGACAGATGAATGGATAAAGAAGACATGGTATATATGCATAATAGATCACAACTCAGTTATAAAAAAAAAATCATCTTCTGTTTAAATTGATGTAACATTGGTTTACAATACTCTTTATGATTTAAGGGAATAGATTCACACCTCCTGAGATGTATGTCACTAGACCACATCCACCACTAAAGCACCCACAGTCCTGCACTCCACATGAGTGAGATCAACCAGTATTTGTCGTCCTCCTTATTTCACTTAGCATAATCCCTCTCCAGTTCCATCCATGTTGTCACAAATGGCAAGAATTAAAAAAAAAAAAAAAATCTTGTCATTTATGATGTGAATGGACTAACAAGGATTATGCCAAGCAAAGTAAGTCAGAAGTAGCAAGACATCCATCCTAGATGATTTCATTCATGTGTGGAATATAGAAAACAAAGAACAGACAAAAACAAAAGAAACCCTTGAAATCTGACTACAGAATTGAGGCCACCAGAAAGAGAGGGTTGGGGGGTGAGAGGAAAATGTGTGGGGGTGCCCAGTGAATTTTGGTGGAGCATTACTGGAGTTTTGATGGTTAAGTGTAGTGTGATTACATACATTTATAGAGCTATGAACCCATATCCCTAAAACATATAAGAGTATTATAAATCAATATTACCTCAATAAACCTATCTTAAAAAAAGTTAAATTTCTCTCTCCCCCAGATGCTCAATGGATGTGCATTTGCCTCTTTTTTTAAAAAAAAAAATATTTATGCTATAATTCAAAGTCCTTTACTTCTCTATTATTTTTTCTCCTTTTTCTATCAGCTCTTCTTGGCAAATTAAGGTACTTTTTCTCAGCCACTATGTTACTGCTGAATTTTTTCTTTTACTCTTTTAGATCAAAAAGCTAACTCAAAATGGAACAAGGATAAATTATACATATTCATTTTTTTACCTTTCCCCCCAATTATTTATAAACACAAATATACAAGTTTAGTAAAATAGTTACGAGGAGAAAAGTACTCCACAATTTAAAGTGCTAGTAGAGACAAGCAGAAGACACATGAAAACCCTGCAACAATCATTCTTACAACTTTCAGTCAGATGTGTGTATCCTGTATTCTCAAGCCCAAATGCACAAATACAGAGTTGAGGTTGAGAGCAGTGAACATTAATAGAGTTTCTCAAGCAAATATACTGAGGAAAAACTCATTCAGACTTGCAGGCACTCCCATCATGAACACAATTGCAATTCAATTTATAGCAAATACAAAGGATTAATAGCAAATCTAAGCAATTACCATGGAATTACAAGTAAGAGTAGTTTGAAGTTTAAAAACTTTGTGCAATCCAGCAGCTTCTGCTTGTGCTAGTTTCTCTTCAGTCATTTTCACCACAAATTTCACAGTTGTATCAGTATGATATTCTTTATAATCAGAAATTAATGCTGGTGTTTTATCTGTTCCATTCAGCATTGGTTCTAAAACTTGTTCTTTGTATACCTATAAAAGGTTTTAAAATAAGTAATATTTTCATGACACGCATTCATGTTCTCATACTATAAGTCATGTGATTTATTTTTCAGTTCTCAAATTCAGTAGAGAAAAAAACCCAAAACCTCTATCTCTATAATCTCCTACCCAGTCACTATATAAAATAAAATAGAGAAATTTCAGTGGTGAGGTAGTGGTTCTGATCTTATCATACTCCAAAGGGAAAGGCTAAGTATGAAGATGGTGACATCAACTAGAATTGACAAGAGATGACATGAATACTTTTAGATTTGTGACAATATTGACATGAAGTTACTGATCATAAGATTTTAAAATACTATTTCTTGCACACCATTCTATCCATTTCAAGTAAACAAAATAATAATCTCTTCAAAAGTTAGTCTTTTTACAGTTAGGTAAGTTAAAATAATTACTATTTAAATATTTAAACATCTGAATGGCTCAAAATATACATAGGTATTTTTAAATACAAGACATACATAGAACACACAATGATGGAATCACATTCTTACCAAAAGAATTGCTCAATGCAATGCCCTACTCCAGGCAGCTCACATACTAACCTGTGTCCAAGTTCTAACTGGAAGCTCTGTAATCTCTACTGTGTTTCTATCCACCACAAATATTTCACCACTGACTGCATATTGGTTTTGACCAAGTTCTTGGATTGTTCCTTTAAAGTTTTTGTAGTTTGGAAGCTGCAGAGAAAAATAAAACTAACTTAATACCCTGTCTTTTCTCTAGAGTATCAGTACCACACATTAGACCCCTTAGTCTACTCTTGCTAACAGATTACTGTGACAAACTGAGTTACTCATCCTCAACAGTATCTCTCCAAAAAAGCAATCAACCTTGAATTCAGTTTCTGTTAATATAATCTGAACAACCCCCCATCTCAAAACCTTAGTGTCTTTCATAGTCTTCCTGAACAAATTTTTGTTAATGTATGACCTCCATATCTCCTTCTCCCTAGATTAATAGTCTTTTAAAGGCAAATTCCTGGGATGGTACATTCAAAGCTTCCCACTATCTGACCCAGTTTATCTTCCTATCTCTTCTACACTGACTTATTTGCCTTGCAGATCACTACTCTTTCCACATATTTTGCTTGAATATTTTGAATATTCTTATTTTCACTTGCTCTGTACCAGCCCTGGCACAATTTCAGCTCCCCACACCTCATTCACCCATATAAGTCTTACTCATCTTTTTCACTGTTACAAGTGATCTCTTCCCTTTTCTAAAATTTATAGTTATTATCATTAAGAAATTAGGCATATAACATAGGGGAGTCCTTCTGGCATACTGAGCTATTATTGAGACTTTTGTCACTATAACCTTCAAGTCCTGATGTCTTTACTACAGATTAACTTTGAAGAGAGCAAGAATAATAGTCCATCATCTCACCACTTAACACAGTGTCATATATATAGCATTGTTTATGTGTCTCATATATATTCTAAAAGAATGAAAATAAAATGCAATAACCGTAACAAGTAATTTGACACTTCATTACAAATATTTTTAGGTACCTTAAAGTGTTTAAGGGGGAAACAGATCTTAAACCAAAATCATTATAACCTAATTTCGTTTGTAATATAAAAATGAAATTTAACAAAAATAATTTTGTTTCCAAGAGACACCCTGATTGGGAGAAAATTTTTGCACACAATACTAATGATAAGGGGCTGATCACAAAGATCTACAAAGAGCTAACAAAACTCAACAAAAACAAAGTAAAACAATCCAGTCAAAAAATGGGCAGAAGAGCTAAAGAGACACTTCTCCAAAAAGGAAATGCAAATGGCCAACAGGCGTAAGAAAAAATGTTCAACATCACTTGTAATCAGGGAAATGCAAATCAAAATCACAATGAGATAGCATCTTACATCAGTGAGAATGGCATATATTAAAAAATCTAGCAGAACCTCCCTGGTGGCACAAGGGGTTAAGAGGCAACCTATGACGCTAACTGCAGACTCTGCAGCAGGAGTTTGATCCCCGGCCAGGAAGCAAACCACATGGCACAGCAGACCTCTCCTGACTCGCCCACTGCTCCCCTCAGCAATGTATTTCAGTCAATCTGCCTGTTCTGTTCCCCACTCTGTCTCTGGTGAATCCTCTCACCCCCCACACCTCTGGCCTGTACCCCTCTACTTGTATGCATAAATAAATCTTTAAAAATAAATAAAATAAAATAAAAATTAAAAAAACTAGCAACAACAAATGTTGGCGAGGATGTGGAGAAAAAGGAACTCTCCTACACTACTGGGGGGAATGCAAATTGGTCTAATCACTATGGAAAGATGTATGGAAGTTCCTCAAACTGCTAACAGTGGAGCTTCCATAGGATTCAGCAATTCAACTTCTAGGTATCTACCCAAAGGACAAAAAAACATTAATTCAAAAGGACACCTGCACCCCTGTATTTATTACAGCACCATTTACAATAGGTAAGCTATTGAAACAATCTAAATGCCCCAAAACAGATGATTGGATCAAGAAGATGTGGTATATACACACAATAAAATATTACTCAGCAATCAAAAAAGATAAACTCATGCCATTCACAGCAACATGGATGGAGCTGGAAGGGATCATGCTCAGTAAAATAAGCCAGAAAGAAAAAGAAAAATACCAGATGGTTCCACTTAGAGTAGGAATATAGGGAATCCAAATAAGGGATCAGGAAAAAAAAAAGTAATATAATAAATCAAAATCAACAGGTGACTATAAACCAGAGACATTCAGCAGCACAGCGGGGGGGGGGGGGGAACAGCAGGGGAGTTGGCTCAAAACAGGGATGAGAAGAGCCCAAGGGACTATGGTGATGGTACACAGGTAAATTGGTGGTGGGAATTCCTCAGGAACTATACCTGAGATGATAAAGAATACATTGTATAAAAATGAAAAATGATGTTAAATAAAATTAAAAATTAAAATTTTGTTTCTACATGGTTGGTTTATAAAGGATATTTTCTTTTTTGCTTATTTATATTTTCTATAATGAGCAGTATCATTTCTGTATTAAAAATATTTTATTTAAATATATCATGATAAAGGAAAGTTCCCAGGTGACTTAAAACCATGTGGAAAAGGTCAGTTTTATGAGGTTTTTCTTGGAGGAATTTTTGGGAGAACTGAACATAATAAATGTTGTAAAAATAGACAAAAATTAAAAATATTACTAAATTAAAATATACAGTATGTTTTTAAGCACCCTTACAACATTTAATTGTTTGAGAACAAAAAGTTAGCTGTAATTTTGTCATAAAAGCATTATTCTCTATAATTTAGATATTTCATATCTGAAATAAGGAGTATTTTAAAATTTCAACAAAGTTTCTCTCCATAAATCTTATCTCCAGGCTTTTTTCCAAAGTTGATACATTTTACTCTAAGCACATATCAAATTACATGCCAATAATGTCTTTATTGTGTATAATATATTCTAAAATAAAAATAGTTCCATTACTTTTCTAAAATGACTGGACTTTGTAGTCTATTATGTTAAATAAAAAGTATTGACAGTAAGCTCTAAGTAATTACCATGGGATGAGGATCCAAGCCATCCAGCATTCGTCTGACATTGTTCACAATTTCTCTAGCATCATAGTTGGGTAGTTTACAAGCCCATCCAGTACCAATGCCCTCAGCACCATTTATTAAAACCATAGGAATTATGGGAATATACCACTCAGGCTCTACCCGTTGATTATCATCATAAAGGAATTTAAGCAGGTTGTCATCAACAGCAGGAAAAAGCAGTCTTGCTAGAGAGCTAATGAAATGAAAAATAACGAAAAGGTCATGGTTTCAGGAAATAAAACTTTATATAGAAAGACTATTTCAATAAATCTTTGAAAAGACTGCATAAAAAGAATGCATTTTTAAAAGTTTTGAACATGTACTTAATGACAAATTTACCTAACCATACTACCAAATATATTTCTGAGCAAAGTCAGAATAGCCTTAGTTTACTTATGTACTTATCAACCTATCTAAATTCTTAAGTGTTAAGAAAATTTTTTAGTGATTTCCTCTTATTCTAACTAAACCACAAAACCCATATATAGCCTAAAAAGTAAAGTTGGGTCTCTCTCTCTCTCTCTCTCTCTCTCTCTCTCTTCTCTCTTTTCTCTCTCTCTCTCTCTCTCTCTCACACACACACACACACACAACACCTACGTTCATTATGACTAGTGCCACCAATAACTCATAAAAATTGAGATCAACAAATTCTATCATCAAATAATTGGAAAGGTCCATAGGTACTAGAATATACAATCATATGTCATCACAGTTACAATTCTATAAACATTTAGTTAATGCCAATAAACTTCAAACACAACTTTGTATCATTGTATCAGCAAACAGTTACCTTAACATTGTGAAAATATAACGAGGGCTTGCAGCATCTTTGCCACCATGAAGTCGAGTTCCAAACTGACCGATAGGCTGAAGCAGGTTAATGTTGTTACTTCCCACAAAGTTTTGAGCCAAATTCACAATAGTCATCATCAATGCTTGCTATAGAACAGGACAGAATATTAATTAATACTCTAAACTTTCTAAATGCATTTCCTAGTTTTTATTAAAGCCCAAACTCTGGATTCTTTTACTTTCCAAATCCTTTATAAAAGGGAAAATAGCTTATTATCCCCCAAGCCAGTAAATATATTTCTCAAATGATTCCAGTCTTAATGCTTACTTCTCCATGATGATAAGCAGACATTTCAGCAACAGATCCAGCCAATTGAGCAACTTTTACTTCACGTTTATCATTCCTCTTGAAACAGGTAAATAAAACTTTTCGTTGGCCTGGCTTAAAACCTATTGTTAAAGAGAACAATCCTCTTTTAAAAGTATTACTCAAGCTACAATTTCAGTTTTCCTGTTAATGTCAACCATGTTCTATATATTCAAGAGAAAAAAGCAAAGACACATTTGCTTTTGAAAAATAACTGACTAAAAATACTACTTGAGATTCCATAATAAAGTGAGAATACACTAACAATGTTTTTATACCATCTCAATCTATTCCAAAAGTAGAATACCACAATTGGAAGGCCATTTCCTTGTCTTAAAGACCTATTCAGTAGCAATAAACTCCTTTCACAGGAATTTTTAAAGGCTCATTTTCCCAAAACGCCAGTTGCAACTAAAATATCAGAAAATCAGTGACCCTAAAATCTATTTTTAGAGATCCCAAATCAGAAAAACCCTAAGAAGGCATTACCTTGGTAGTTAAGAATTCAGGCATTAGAATCACACTAATCAGGAAACTCTTCTCAACCTGGCCATACACCCATAACTAAGCTAGTAAGCCTCCAGTGTCATCAGTATAATAGAAATAATTACCTTCCTAGTAGGGTGATCATAAGAATTACATGAAATAATACAAACAAAGCACTCTGTGTTTCCATATCTTTGTTGCTCTAGGCCAATGCGCATAGTAATAAATTTTTCAGTATGTGATAGCTATGGTCCTCATCAGAGCATGATAGAAAAAAAGAGGATGATAAAATACAGGCAGGTTCTTTAAGAATGTATAATCTAATTGAGGAGGCAAAATTAGCACGAGAGACACATGTTACTGAAGTTTAGGCATCTTACACCAATTTAGACTGTAATTGTTAGAGACACTTCACAGAAGGGGATATAACTTAAAGCAAGAATTTAGATGGATGGGTTAAGCCATCTGTCCTTAATTACAAACCAAGGATCACAAATATTAACTAATTTGCTAAAAGCTATAAAGTAAAAATTAAAAAGCCCTAGTAAAAGACCAAATCTGCTCTAACTACCAGGTAGTAAGAGGATGTGGTGGGAATGCAAACTGGTCCAACTGCTATGGAAAGCTGTGTCGGAGGTTCCTCAAACTACTAAAAATGTAGCTACCATATGACCCAGCAATTCCACGCCTAGAAATCTACCCAAAAGACACAAAAACAATTCAAAAGGATACCTGCACCACTGTTTTTATTGCAGGGGTGTGCACACACAGCCAGTAACTGTGTGAAATGATGGATGTGTTAGTGATTGCTGTAACCATTTTACAAAGTATACACGTATCATATCATGAACTTCTTAACTATACGTAATTTTAATCATCAATTATACCTCTGAAAACTGAAAAAAAAGTTGGGGGGAAGGAATCTGATTTTAAATTATTTGCCTAATTATTTCCCTAATTAGGCAAATAGTTAATTAATAATTAGATTAATAATTAGGCAAATATCTAAACAGATATTAGGCAAATATCTAATTATTAATTTCTGAGAAATTAAAGGCTTTTCCAATATGCCTTTATTGAAAATACATTTGAACACATGCCTTTCAATTAAAGAACTATGAAAGCAGGGCATAATCTGGTAGGGGTGGGGGAACACTGCAAAAGCCACATCATTCGCAGCAACATGGATGGAGCTAGAAAGGATTATGCTCAGTGAAATAAACCAAAAGGAAAATTATCAGATGGTTTCACTTATAGGAGGAATACAGGAGAACCAAATAAGGGATCAGGAAAAAAATAAAAAAAAATTAGCAGGCAACTATATAAATCAGACATTCTGCAAGGGAGGGGGAGGCAGAACGATCAAAACAGGAGGGAAGAACACAGGGACAAAGGTGATGGTTCACAGGTGACTTGGTGGTGGGAATTTTATGGGGACTACACTTGAGAGGAGAAAGTATACACTGTACAAAAATGAACAATGATGTAATATACATATTACATATATATATATATATATATATATATATATATATATATATATAAAAATTCAGTCCTAACAAGATATCTCAACAGCAACTTCAGAATTTCACAGTTTATTATAAGGATGGCTTAAAGTACATGAAAGTGAAATTTAAAGTATATGAGATTATAAAACTTTTTTAAAGGCCACTTACCATCAACTAGAGATGGTATAGATCTTTCATTGTCTGAGTTTGAGAAAAGGATCAATTCCTTATTGATGAAATCATTGTAGGTCAAATGCTTTGTTGCTGTACCATATAAAAATTGCTAAGAGGAAAGTTATATTGTCATTATTACTGCATGAATTTTAGTCTTGTTCTTCCCCCAAATCACTACTCTTTATGACTAACCTCTGGTAAGCCATGTAACCTACGCTGTCTCCGATCTTCCATAAAATTTGTTAACCACTCTTTTCTGTCATCAATCTTCTTCTTACTGAATGCCTGAAGGTAACAATTTCACACATTAAAATTTCACTATAAAATTAAAACTTTACAAAGGCAAATATCTAAATATTAATTTGAGACATTATTTCCAATATGCCTTTATTGAAAATACATTGAACACAGGCCTCTCAGTTAAAGAACTATGAATAATAAATTAATGGCATAATCTGGTAGGGGTGGGGGAATACTAAAATTAAATAGTTTGGACATTAGAATACAAAAAGAATTATCATAGGAACCAAGACTAGGAAGAAAACTATGGCAGACAAGAGAATGGATATTAGGAAATATTTTTAAATATTAACTTCATTACCAAGGTAATGGCAGCATCATCTTCTGGACCAGCATATCTAAACAAAATACGATGCCTTTCCATATCAGCAAAATATTCCTTTGCTTCTTTAGCTGTACTGGTACCCAACCCTTACAATTTAAAAAAGTGAAAATAAGTCAGGCAAAGATAAATACTGTATTATCTCACTAAAAAGTCAAAGAAAAAGTAGAATGGTGGTTGTCAGGGGCTTAAAGGTGGGGTAAGTGGGCACATGTCCATCATAAGGTACAAACTTTCAGCTATAAAATTAAATTTTAGAGATCTAATGTACCACGTGATGGCTGCCATCAATAACATCATGCAGCAGACTCAAAAATTGCAAAGAGTAAATCTTAAATGTTATACACACACACATACACACATACACACTCTCTCTCTCACCCCGAGTAACTGTGTGAAATGATGGATGTGTTAGCAATTACTGTAACCTTTTTACAAAGTATATGCATATCAGATCATGTACTTCTTAACTATAAATAATTTTAATCATCAATTATACCTCTGAAAGCTGAAAAAAATTGGGAGGTGGAGGGAACTGTTTCTGCCTTTATTTCCAAAAAAGGTCTGTATATTATAAAAACATTTGTTATGTCATTGAATACAGAGTGTACACTGCAACATTTAACCATTTTCATTCCATAGCTAATGATTTAAAATTAAATCACCTTAAGAGGACTGCTTTCACGAAAATCATGTCACTGTATTATAGTCACATGCTATTGCTTTCAATGCTCCTTACACGTGAAATGAACTGCAATAATTGTCAGCCAAAAGTGTATCAGATCCAATTGCTTATTATAGGCTCAATAAACACTATTCTAAGACTTTTTTTTTAAGATTTATTTATTTATGCATACAAAGCTGGGGTGTAAAACAGAGAGGTGGGGTAGGAGAGTGAGTGGATTCACCAGAGACAGAGTGGGTAGCAGAACAGGTAGACTGACTGAAATACACTGCTGAGGGGAGCAGGGGCGAGACAGGAGAGGTTGGCTGCACTATATGGATCATCTCCCTGGCCAGGGATCTAGCTTCAGAGTGCTGAGACTTAACTCATTGAGCCACCAAGGAGGCCCTATACTAAGATTTTTTTAAAACACAAAAGCTGTCCAAAATCCCTGAGGGATACATTAGAAATAACCAGGATATTTAGAAAACTTTAACCTTTCCAGCTAGCACCATGTCTATCAGTAATTGCAACAGTGTAAGTTTTAGCACTTCACATAACTAGTCAGTAAAGATTTTTTTAAAGGTGGGAGTAAGAGATAAGAGAATGTCAGGTTTCATACTTCTTTTAAAAACTCAAAAATCAAAACTACTGAAAAAAAATATTTAAGTGAATCATGAGCATCAATGGCTGTTTCAAATCATTAGTTCAAAAGCTGACAGATCAAGATGATGACACCTGTAGCAACTGAACAATTTTAATAAATCAGCTAATACAAGCCTCTAGACCTAAGTACAAATCATCAACTATTCAATGTTTTTGCCATATAACTCTGATCCAAATATGATCAACTCTCCTATTTAAGTACCAGATAACAAAAAATAAAGGACAGAGAAACTTGCTAAGTATTTAATGAAACTATAGGCCTAAACAGCAAAATCCAGAATGTGGGAAATAATACAAAGAACCCAACTTTTTGAACTGCAAGGAAAAATACAAAGAAATAAACAATGTTAAGTTAAAAGGATTTTAAGAGGGGCCTCCCTGGTGGCGCAGGGGTTACAGTCTCGGCACTATCAAGCTATTGCCAGCCACTACAGCAAGAGTTCAATCCCAGCCAGGGCACTAATGCACACGGCACAGCAGACTCTTCCTGCCTCGCCCAATTCTTCCCTCAGCAGTGTATTTCAGTGGATCTGCCTGTTCAGCTCCCCACTCTGCCTTGGGTGAATCCTCTCATCCCTCATACCTATGGCCTACACCCCAGTTGTTGTACACATAAATAAAAATCTAAAAAAAATTTTAAAAAGAGTCATAAGATGTGATTATTGACCTTCTTTGGATCCTGGCCTGATAAACATTTTGATATAACCAGGAAAACAAACAGTGAATATTTAATGTTTTAAAGTTATGATAATGGTATTTTGAGCATTAAAAAAATTCTTTTAGTGTTACATACCAAAATATTTTATATACATGTTATACATATTTTTAAATATATATAAAGATCTATAGATATATAAAAATTTCTGGAAGTTAGGGCCTCCCTGGTTGTGCAAGGGGTTAAGATGCAGCCTATGAAACTATCCACAGCCACCGCAGCAAGAGTTCGATCCCCAGCCGGCCAGGGAGCTACCCACATGGTGCAGCAGACCTCTCCTGACTCGCTGCTGCTCCCCTCAGCAGTGTATTTCAGTCAATCTGCCTGTTCTGTTCCCCACTCTGTTTCTGGTGAATCCTCTCACCCCCCTCTCACCTCTGGCCTGTATCCCAGTTCTTGTACACATAAATAAATCTTAAAAAAAAAAAATCTCTGGAAGTTATTTCAAACTAATGAGTAGGAATGAAAACTGTTAAATGAAACAAGATAGTGCAGGAAATAGTAATTTTTAAATATATAGGAAGCCCATTACCTCTACTTCACTGAAATTTTCTTTAAAAATTAGCAATTATTTTTGCAGTCAAAAAGACAAAGTTAATAAACTTATATCAGTAGAAACTTCACAAAATTTAAATATTTTAAAATACAAACCTTTGTAATATTTTATTTTCCAGGCTTTCTGGTTTTCTATATGTTTTTTCCACTCATCAAATTCAGGAATACTGTAGAAGGAAAGTTCCTGCTTATTTTTGCTTGCCTTAAATTAAAAGAAAAGAAATTAAGTTTTTCTGCTATCCTTTAAGACAACAGTATACAAATATATTAATGTAAAAAGTACCTTTACAATAGGAGTAATAAACTCTTCAAGAAAACCATGCTTCAAAAGTGATGGCCAATTGTGATGGATGAAATTAATAAGCAGACCTTTTATGTGAGAACCATCTTGATCCTAAAAGTTAGAAAAGAATGCTATAATTTTATGAAATATATAACCAAATTTTAAATATATGAATACAGCACAGATACATTTTCTAAACTTAGAACTGTGTTTTATTAAATAATGGATACTCTTTAGATGATGGCAGTAAAAAAACTATATTTTGGGCCTCCCTGGTGGTGCAAAGAGTTAAGTCTCAGCACTATGAAGCTATCCGCAGCCACTGCAGCATGAGTTTGTCGGCCAGGTAGCTGACCCACACGGCCCAACAGACCTCTCCTGTCTCGCCTGCAGCTCCCCTCAGCAGTGTATTTCAGTCAATCCACCTGTTCTGTTGCCCACTCTGTCTCTGATGAATCCTCTTAACCCCTGCACCTCTGGCCTGTACCCCATTTCTTATATGCATAAATAAAAATAAATCTTTAAAAAAAACTATTAAAATTCAAAGAATATAGACTGAATTTTCCTATAAGATACTATTATTCTATGTTTTAAAGTTTACTCAGAGTTTATTAAAAGAATAAGCATGCATATACATAAACATGATCATAATGCATTTTGGACAATGGAAGGAGAAATCCATGAAGTATAGATATTCCCAAGGCTCTTCATCACATAAAACTGCTCAATTTCTCCTTAAAACAATATATAACAACTTCTTCAGTTGAATATTTTCTCTAAAAATGCTTTTAATTATAGTATACAAAAGACAAAAGTTGGATACTATGAAATTTTAATTTTCAGGTCCTTTCCTACTCCTAAGTGCTGCCATTTTCTACACGTCCTCCAAGTTTTTATGCATCCCAAATTATGCCACTATATACAAACAGTAACCATTGTCTTTCTCACTTAAAAATTTCACCATTTTTTCAAGGTATGCTTTAGTTTTATAATACTACATGTTCTATTCTTTTCCTATTTATTGCATTTGAAAACATTTTTCATTTTATTTATTTATTTATTTTTGTGGGACTCTCGCCGGTGGCCTGGGAACGAAACGGTGCTGCAGAGGCTACGGGCAGCCCCGCAGCCCAGCGCTCAACCACTGCGCCACCAGAGGAGGCCCCATTTTTCATTTTAAAAATAAGTAGTCAAAAACATAGTCACCAATAAACCAGATAATATAAAGTATACTTCATATAAACAGTGCTATTAAGACAATGTTTTCTTCCTCACTTTATACTATCTTGGAGCAAGTTTCATAAAATAAATATCAAAAGGACAATATAAAAAAGTTTTAAAGTTGTGGTAACTTTCAAGCAAACCTGATCAGTCATAATCATAATCTTTCCATAGCGTAATGTTTTCAGAGATTCTGCATCATCATAACTTTTCTTGTACTGTAGACCAACTATTTTAATAATATTGTTTATTTCTGCATTTTCCATAATCTGCAAAAAGGAAAAGAATTGAATGCATTGTGAAGTGTTGAAATATACAAGAAGTTAGTTCATACTTACACGTAAAAATTCAACAATTTTGTTAAAGTATTATATATGTGTATGATACATATGTGTGTTCACACACATACAAGGACATACCTGCTTGTGAGAAGCTTCTCGTACATTAAGAATTTTTCCCCTGAGTGGAAAGACTCCGTATCTGTCTCGCCCAATCACACCTAATCCAGACACAGCCAGAGATTTGGCAGAGTCTCCCTCTGTTAGTATTAGTGTACACTCCAGGGAATGTTTGCCACCTGAAATTTAAAATGACATACTCTGAATTACTCTCAATTTTACCAATGAGAAAAAGTAAGAATACAATGATGGTGAAATACCACATGTCATATCAAATTCAATAATAGGTTAATTATGAGCTTACTGAATTCTTATACCCTGAAAATGTGGTATGTGTGTGGCAATTTTAATTAAAATTATAGGCTGTATATAAAAACATATATCGATAGTTTAATTATATGTGGGAAATAAAAATTTTTATAACTGGATAAATGAAAACAAATCAGAACCTTAAAAAATTCTAAATTTACCTGCATCATTAGCATCATCCAGTTTGGGAATACCTTTGATTTTACTATACTTTACTGATGAACACTTCTTGTTCAGCTGAGTCTGAGCCTTAAATTTCACCCAATTCAGGATACTTTCTACAATGCCACAGTTCGAGGCCTAAAAATCAAAGAATAATGATATACAAACAAACCAGAAGTTCATGTACTTAGCTAAAACTAATATAATACTTGGAATCTGTGCAGTTGTAAGCTGTTATAAGGCAAACCAGTAACAATCATGATAATGACATATGTTAGTAAATTTTAAATACAGTAAAACTAACACAGGCAGCTATACACCATGACCTATTGCACCGAAATATAAACACATGAAAAAAGGGCAACTTTAATACATATGAAGAAGTTTTATTATAGTAAGCTCCATTCAAAACACATGTAACTTTGTCTAAAGCTCATTTTGTTAACATTAACACAACGAAAGCTGGTTCACCCATGAATTTAGCAGCTGGAAGTTCTAGACACTGATATTTCTGATATTCAACAGAAAATATGCATCTTGAATTCACTATGACATGCATATGTATGTATGTACGTGTGTGTGCGCGTGTATGTGTATAAACTTTAGGGGAATATTTGGATAAACTCAAGCACTTATGATTAATTCTTTAAAGTTTGGTGGGCCTCCCTGGTGGTGCAAGGGGCTAAGACGCAACCTATGAAGCTCTCCGCAGCCTCTGCAGCATGAGTTTGATCCCCCCGCCGGCCAGGGAACAACCCACATGGTGCAGCAGACCTCTTCCGGCTCGCCCGCTGCTCCTCTCAGCAGTGTACTTCGGTCAATCTGCCTGTTCTATTCCCCACTCTGTCTCTGGTGAATCCTCTCACCCCCCACACCTCTGGCCTGTCCCCAGCTCTTATGTGCATAAATAAATCTTTTAAAAATAAACAAAAATAAAAATTTTGATAATGAGGATTTCAACATTATATACTATGTGTCATCCTGCAGTGAATCGCACATGTTAACCCAAAAAGAAGACAAAACAAAACATCTCCAAGTTGCAGCTATTTATTTTTCATCATCCTGGATAGTTTGATTTTAGGTGTAGAGCTTTATATACTATTTTGGATTTATAAATAGGTAAATTATACTGCCACATGTAAACTTAATCCACCAGTAAAAAGGCATAAAATCTAAAATCAAATCACTTCATGACAATAACTTATGAGGGCAAAAACTTGGGAAAGTATTACATAGGATAATTTGTATTCAGAATTTATTATGACTAGAATCAAAAGTACATTTCCATAAGCATAAAACTTAAATCTGAAAAACTGTAACTTTTGTTTGTAAGAATCTACCTTTGAAATTCCAGTACTGGAATTTGATAAATACCTTATCTCTATGGCAATTATACCACATTCCTCCACCAAACTATAATGATGTATTCATCTTTACATTCCCAGTAACAAACATATATAAAGAGATTTTATATATGCATATTTAATATGTGTTTATTGATGGAATTCTGAATGAGGAACTTAAGCAAATCTTGTGCATATACAACAAATTACAGGAAGTTATTAGAAATTGCAAGATGAAGTTATAAATCTATTATTTATACTCTCACCTTGTTACAGAAAGATTAAGGTGGCACAAGTAAACACATGCAAAGTAAAATGAGAATTTTAATACGTAGGTTATACTGTATTTTGTTATACACATGTAGCTGCAATAAAAAACCATACAAATAACATAAAAATTAGATGAAGTTGAAATAAGTTGAAAAGATGAAACCAGGAGTCTTAGAATTCTGGCTTTATAATGGTCACACAATTAGTTACATGATTCCCTACTTTAATCCTTGAGAAAATAATTATTTTATGAAACAACAGTCTACCTTTGAAGTTTTCAGAATTCAGCAAATTAATTTATAGTATGCCTAAGCCCACAGTTACTATGAAACTAACCACAAGTACATAAAACTAATTCATCAACTACTCCATCAACTCTCACCAAAACCAACTCTCACACTTAAAAAATACAAATTTTACTCACTGCTTTAAAAAACTTTTCTGACAGCTGGCATTTGGACCCAAAACTTTTGGGCTGCAGAGTCATGTTTTCCTTAGTTTGAGAATCAAAAGTTGGATTTTCAATAAGGCAATTAATAAAAACCCATATATGGTTTTTCACCTGTTGAAAATATATCAAAAACAAAAATGTGTCAACATCAGAACTGATATTAAAAATAACTCAATATAATATATAAAAATTTCACTTACTTGAAACGGTTTTACTGATACACCAGCTTTGTTCTTTTTCTTAACTACTTCAATCAGTTTACCAACAACTTGATCTACTACATAATCCACATGACGTCCACCCTAAAGAGAAAAAAAAATATGCAATCCAACTTTTCTATAGTTAGGGCAGCAAAATACATATAGATTCATTTTTCCCCCTAGAATGAGCGATTAATCTTTAAAACAACTTTGTAAAATCAATAGTTTTTCCAAAGAAGTAATATGAGTCAGAACGATAGTTACAATTCTTAAAATAATGTCTTGTTGGCCACAGAACCAATCAGCCAACTCTCTTTAACTCTATACAAAGTGAAAACAATTTTGAATTACAAAGAGAGATAAGTGAGAACAAATACTGGCATGGGTGGTAATAATGACACAAGATTTAAAATTAGGAACTATGGCAGCCACTGGCAGTTATATGAGGTAAGTTCCCTCCAAAGAGACAAACTGCTCTCAATAGAACCAGAGTAGGCCACTATAACCCTGGCATGAAAGCCAGTTAGTCAAGGCTCTGTGAGATGCAGGAGGCTACTTAAAGAATGCAGATTGTTTTAGTATAAGATTGAGAGCCCTGAACACTAGCAGAGGCTTCTATTCTTGCCTAACTATTTAGATCAGTACTAATCAAAGAAGAGATCAGTATGCTTCTGGCCATTAAACCGAAGAAGCAACCGCTCTTTCTCCTTTGCATGACCTAGAAGAATGTAGTTTGAGAGTCTCACTGATTTTTAGGCTTATCAGTAAACATGTTATAAGAATCTCATCTTTGCACTCTATGTCTGTTATGTAAAGTCTCTTCCTATCTCTTCTTGATGTCCCAGTCCTAAAATGAAGGACAAATATTCCTGGTCTGCCCAATTATTATTTAGAATTCAAAATCATATGAATTCTCCACATGTGTATTATTTAATTCATTGTTTTTCCTTTGATAACCTGTTTAATGCTGTTTTGATCACTTGTCCAGCACAGAAAGAACCCAGAGAGGTATGGGATAATTTATTTTGTGCCCCGAAAGTTGTCTACCCAGTATTTTCTCTTCCCTTTTTTCTAAATGCATTTGTTTGTAACTAGCAATATGTCCAATTTAAAAGATTCATCAATTTAGACTCTCTCGAAGGTAGGGGTAGCCACTTGACCCAGTTCTAGTCAACAAAAGGTTAGCAGAAGTATACTTGATGGGGCTTCCAAGAAAGCAATTATATTTTTGATAAAAAGGGAAAGATATAATTGACATATACATTTGTGTGATTCCATTCCCTATCCTTCAAATTTAGAAATGAGTCACAGAGGTGTAGCATACAGGAAAGCACAAGCACATGTTACAAGTCACAAAAATGCCAGAAAGAGCAAAATCCCTGATCACATTGTAGAGCCACAACAGCTGCCTAAATTACCTACCCCCATCCCCAATTATGAGAGGAAAAATAAAATCTTTACAAGTTTAAGTCAATGTATATTAGTGGTTTCTATTACATGCAACAAAATGCAATCATAACATGCTGATGCCAGATTTCTATTGACTAAAAAAACTGATACTAGATTATAAAAAACAGTGAACATTAAGGAAAAATGTTAAAATTTGAACAAGAGTGAAAAACCATAGCTTTAGATTATTCTGATTATTATATATACTTATGTTTGTATTTCTTAATTCTTTATAATGGTCAATAGATTAATGATCTTAAATTAGAATTTCATTTGATTTTGAAATCCAAAAGCCTACAGAAGAGGCTTGAATGACAGGTAAAATGTCCCATAATCTCACCCTCCAAAAAACTCATCTCCTATTGTTCTTTCTTCTATACTCTAATCCCAGTATAAGGAATGCTGTCATTCTAAATTTCACAATATAAATTTATTCAACTATAAATACTAATCATATAATTTCTCAATGGATGTTTAAATAAATTTTAAAACAGCTATTTCATAGAAAAGATTTCATAAGTCAATTTTGATTTTACAAAAACAGATTTGATTTTTTGTTGTCATTGTTATGAAAAAAGCATTTTTCTATTGACTTGGAAATAGAGTTATACTTACTTTTGTTGTTGCAATACTATTTACAAAACTGATTTGCTGGAATCCTTTTTCACTCAATGTGAGACAAACATCCCACCTTTCATTTGCAAGTTCATGAATAACTTTCAGGGCCACTCCAGTTTCGTCCAATTTGTCTTTCACATAAAGATCTACATAACTGCGAAATCCATTTACCTATTAATTTGAAAGCAAAAAACAATCATGCTGACAGCTCAACTAAGTAAATGCCATAAAATACTTCAATATTTCATTTCCCCTCATTCACAACAGCTCTTACTTTATAAATACAAACTTTCATAACTTTTCTGTTCTACTTATAAACTCTATCCAATTCATTTCCATGAATACTTAATAAAGACAGCTTATAAAGGGACAATGGACAGGAAAACTACCGCAAAATCTTTGAAAAAGTTAAGGTTTTAAAGTGACAAAGTAGACTTCCCATTTGACTTAAGACACTGGACAGCTGTGGAAAGAAGCTCTAATCAGGCAACAAATTAAGTGATTTTTTTTTTTATAAACCCTCAAAAAGTGAGATCAATATGACAACTGACCATCCGGAAGGCAGAAGATAAAGGATTAGCTATTTTGGAAGGTACTTACAGGCAATTTCTTTCCATTAAACATGACCTTGACTCCTTTGCACGAACCAGCCAAATCATAAGCTCTTCTGGTCATAAGGGCCACAATATCCTTGTCAAGTTTTTCCATCTTAAATTTGGACAAATCTGGCTGGAATGTTATGCATGTGTAATCTTCCCCATCAAAATGTTTAATTTTAGCTTCAGAAGTCTTCATCATATTATTCATCCATGTCTTTAAAAGATAAAATATTAAAATATTTGTATATTTCTACATTTTGTAGCAGGTGAACACTCAGCTCAGTAAATACATCCATTTATCATAACTATATCCATTTTCATAACAAACCAAACAAGTCCTTGAAACTGGTAATATTAGAGATAAAAAAATTCTAGATAATGCTATTTAACAACCTGTTGAAAATAAGCAAAACAAACTGTAGAACCTTATATACCGTAATAAATTTTAATTCTTCGAAGTATTTATAGGCATAAAATAAAATTTTGACACATGAATTTATTCAATGAGGAATTTTTCAAACATGCTAAAAGTGGATACATTTCAATTAATCTGGGAGATTCAGAACATTTTCATTATTGCAGAAGTCTGTTAATTAAAGCATTTTGTTTTAAACGAAAAGAAGACAGGCTTATATAAAATCTTCCAGACATTCTGAAGTCTTTTTAAGCCTTACTTAATGCTTAAAAAAAAAAAGTTATACAGATATCAGTGCAATTTAAGCACTATTATCTTGGCAAAACAAAAACATGATTATCAAAAATAAAAAAAAATTAGACATATTTCTGTCATACCTGCTTAAAACTATGTTTGTATTCTTTACAAGCAGTTTCTACTGTAAACTTTGTACTGAAAATATTACAAAGTTTTGCACCATAGCCATTGCGACCACCTGTAAAAACAAATGTGAAAGTTTTAATGACCATTTTTTAAAGAACTTTGTTAACTTACATACCATAAGGCAGGTTTCCCATAATCCTGAGAGTATATGAGAGTATAAAATCTGAATTTTCTATCAAAGTCCCTTTTCTATTACCAAATTTTAATCTGTATCTTTTTAAAAAGATTTGACTTCTGTTTTTTGGTGAGGGTTGGGGGGAACTATCAACCTACTGGGACATTGTAAACAAATAGGAAAACATTTGGTTTTGCTTAAAGTACTGTTAACTCAATTTGCAAAGTCTAGGTTCCAATCCCTCAAAGAAAACAGTTTAAGTGATCTAATTGATATGAAAAGACATGATGCTACATAACAAATTCACACATACAGGAATCACACATCTTACTTACCTAAGTCTAATTCAAATTTCAAACTGTCAGCCAAGTTAGAATTACAGCAATTCCAGACAAGTCAATGTACTATCAGAATCAAGCTTTTAAATTGTCTCTGTCAGACTATAAGTAACACTTATACAATAACAGTGTTTCATGAATACTGATTCTGAAAAGGAAAGTCTCACAACCAAACTACCCAGGTTCCCTTTTCTCCAATTTTTTATGTAGGGATGGTAAGAAATTTTGTTGAAAGCAGTATTTTTCAATCAAAATTCTGATGAGCTATTTAGACTTTACCTGTTACTTTTTTCTCATCATCATCATAGTTACTGGATGTTAAAAGTTGTCCAAAAATTAAAGCAGGAACATAAACTTTCTCTACTTTGTGTTCTACTACTGGAATGCCTTTCCCGTTATTCCAAATGCTTATAATGTTAGATTCACTGTAAATAAACAAGTACAGTTTAGAGTTTAAAAGCATAAAAATATATTAATTCCCATAAAAAGTAAATCAATTCAAGGCCTCCCTGGTGGCACAGGGTTTAGTTAAAGACAGCGCTATCAAGCTATCCCCAGCCACTGCAGCAGGAGTTCGATCCCCGACCTGCAAGGGAGCAACACACATGGCGCAGCAGACCGCTCCTGTCTCGCCTACTGCTCCCCTCAGCAGTGTATTTCAGTCAATCTACCTGTTCTGCTCCCCACTCTCTCTGGTGAATCCTCTCACCTCCCACACCTCTACCTACACCCTAGCTCTTGTATGCATAAATCATCTTTAAAAAAAATAGAAAATCAAGAACTTCAACAGTACAGGTATATGGTAATACTTTCATGTATAATCAAATAAATTGTATTTTCATTATATCATTAATCTTAAGCATGCCACTGGAAATTAGGTTTCTAATAGTAATGCTATAATCTGAATTGCTAATTAAAATCATGCTTAATTACTAATTAAAAGGGATAAATACAATGTTTTGCAAAAGGCAAGATGGTAAATTTAACAGGGCAAAGGCAACAACTATATTTCTAACTTAAAACTTTATTATTTTCATTCCCCCTCATTTTTTTTTTAAGATTTATTTATTTATTTATTTATACAAGCACTGGGTACAGTCAGAAGCGCGGGAGGGTGAGAGCCAGAGCCAGAGTGGGGAGCAGAGCAGGCAGAAGGACCCAAGTACACTGCTGAGGGGAGCAGCGGGCAGCAGGAGAGGTCTGTGTGCCATGTGGGACCCTCCTCCGGTGGCTGGGGAGCAGCCGGGGATCGAACTGGCACTGCAGAGGCTGCAGGCAGCTTCGCAACCCAGCGCTCAACCACTGTGCCACTGGGGAGGCACCCCCCTCAGTTCTTTAAAAAAAAAATCACCATAGTGAATGCTAATTTACTGAATACTGGTAAATATTCTATAATACCAGCAGTTCCTAATTTACAGAGGATGTAATAATAGAAAAGTCCAAATGCCAGTTACAAAAAGTAAATTTAACCTATAATTAACTCGAAAATACTAGCAATCACCCTTACCTAGATTTGTCCCCTAAAAAAAGGCAAGAAAGGATCCAATGGTTATGCTAGCAGTTGAAATAGCATCCACAGCAGCAAAGAGGGAGAAAAATGGTCTCCAAATGCTCCCCCAATGAGGTAATTTGGGCGGAAAAGATCATGTATGACAGAGGAAACAGTCTAAGAGTACAGTATTCTGGCTAAAGAGGCAAAAATAACAAAGTCTCAGGCAACTTGGAAACTAGGGAGTACTAACTGTATACTTTATTCATTTGAGGCATACTCATAAGCTGGTGAGTATCTAAATTAAACGATTTAACATACATGATGAAACATGAAATATACTTACGGATCAATAGAAACTTTGATACAGGTCATGTTCTTATCCCTCTGTTTATTGTCAGCTGCATTAACTACAAAATTAAATATGTTGATGAGTAATATATATAAAGTTATATAAACAAATACATGGACACAACTATATATGCATTATTAAATATATATATTTACTAGTTTATATTAACTATTTTCCAAATAATATTCTTAAATTTTACATCACACCAAATTACCATATCTTCTACCCCACACAAAAAGGGAGGGGTGAATTGGTGACATATAAACACAAAATAAATAAAAACATCTGCACTTTACAGCCACTTCCAGGTGCAAAAGCAAAAAAATCAGTTTTAATTATATTTTTATCTTGGTAACAAATACTTTCTCTTGATCTCCTTCAAAGAACTAGTGATTACACAGGCAAACTGAGCTAAAAGCAACCAGTTAATCTTGAATCACAAAGGCAAGTTTGTCAGTATCCTTAGACATCAAAATTCTAAATCCTATGCACTATAATTGATAATGCATGTATATACATTAACCATTACTTCAATAAAATTTACACACAAGCTAGCTGTTAAACTGAACTTCAATCACAGTTGCAATGTTTCTGATAAACACTGTGTAACTTAAAAGTAAAATCGAGTGGCAAAAGTGAAAGGTACAAAATATAAGTAGCCAGTTTCTCAAAACCATTCAGAAGCAGCTCAGATAGACTCTCACAATTGTGCTGTCTAGGAAACGTCAAGTGGCACTCATAAGGTGACAGAATACAGAATCTGCAGAAAATCACTGGCTGAAAACATTTCCAAAGTGCATGCATTCCCTACAAGTGAATTAGGTATCCATGCTTCATTGCAATATAATTAATCATGTTACTTGGAGTGGACAGAGATCATTTAGAAAAGCTTAAACTTGGCTGTCCAACAGAAACATCAGATTCATTGCTGAAAAAAAAAAATTTTATACAATGTCTCACTTTAAACTCTCTGAATCTGCAAGAATCAGGTTCGATGATCTGTTTTTAACATGTCCCCCAGATGACTAAACATACATGACTACATACCTACTGTGGGATTACTGATCAAACACAACATTCATTTTACGATGAACAAAGTGATATAAAGATATGCACAGAGAGATGAAAATTTTCAAACAAGTGATATAAAATTTCTGAAGAACATTTCTATTCAGCTTAAGGAATATCAGAGATAGAAAATTTATACTCTAAGTCTGACTTTTTATATATAGTAACATTGACATCATAGAAACAGAAGCAGTATATCTTAAGTACTCACCTAAAATTTCATCAAAGATCTTGTACAATCCTGGCACAAAGGTAACCTCTCTGCAATTCATTCCTACATCTTCATCATATACCCACATTACCTGTATTGAGAGGAAAATTTAAAACATATTTTTCTTCTTAAGTCCTTAATAATAAACTTTACATAGTATAAGCCCACATTCTGCCATTTATTCTATAAATACATATGTCTTCAAAGTAACAAAACATACCACTTCCATGCAATTAACATTACTATATTTATATCCAATTTAAACCTCAAAATTGAGAACTTACTCATTTTTTTGCATTCTTATACATAAAATAACTTTAATATAATGCACCAAGAATTGTTAGAAACAGTATTTAAATAAAATGGGGGGGGGGCCCTCCCTGGTGGTGCAAGGGGTTAAGACACAACCTATGAGGCTGTCCGTAGCTATTGTAGCACGAATTCGATCCCCGGCCAGGGAGAAACCCACATGGCACAGCAGACCTCTCCTGACTCGCCCACTGCTCCCCTCAGTGGTTCATTTCCGTCAATCTGCCTGTTCTGTTCCCCACTCTGTTTCTGGTGAATCCTCTCACCCACCACACCTCTGGCCTATAGCCCAGTTCTTGCATGCATAAATAAATCTTTTAAAAAATTTTTAAAAATTAAATAAAATAGGGGGGAAATCTTATTTATGCTTTTACTTCATGTTTTATCTTTTTCTGAAATATAAGGAGCACAGAGTAAAACAGTATGAACACAGCAGGACTCTGGAGTGAGGAGCCTAGCTTTGAATCTCAGCTCTTACTAGTTGAGAAATCTGAGCAAGTTCAATTTATTTAAACTTCAGTATCTTCATCTATAAATGCATATAATAGTAATTACCTCCCAAAATAGTTAGAATAGAACAACATATGTAAGCCAAGTCCCTAGTAAGATTAAGCAATAGTCATTAGTATATATGTATAAGTTCTAGCATTTAAATCACAGAAAGAGGGCCTCCCTGTGGCGAAGGTGGTTGAGCGCACCACTGTGAAGCTGTCCACTGCCTCTGCAGTGCTGGTTCGATCACTGCCGGCCTTGGAGCAACCCACATGGCGAACAGACCTCTCCTGTCTCACCCACTGCTCCCCTCACCAGTGTCCTTTGGTCAGTCTGCCTGTTCTGGTCCCCACTCTGTCTCTGGTGAATTCTTTCACCCTCCTGCGCATCTGGCCTGTACCCTAGCTCTTGTATAAATAAAAAAAATAAATCTTTAAATGAAAAAAATCACGGGAAGAACTCCAGAATTTCTTTAAATTCATACTTTAACACCTGATTCTTTCTCCTGACTTTTATCTCCTAGTTTTGTTGTTGTTATATCTCTAATAGAGAATAAAGACATTTCTATCTCTCTTGGATCTCTCCCTACTTTGCTCATGACCTGAGTCATGAAATCACATAATTACAAAGTAAATCATCACAGAGTGTTTATCCCAAAATAGAAATGGAGGGCATCCCCGGTGGCGCAGCAGTTGAGCGCTGGGTTGCAAAGCTGCCCACAGCCTCTGCAGCACCGGTTCGATTCCCGGCTGCTCCCCAGCCACCGGAGGAGGGTCCCACATGGCGCACAGACCTCTCCTGCTGCCCGCTGCCCCCCTCAGCAGTGTACTTGGGTCCTTCTGCCTGCTCTGCTCCCTGCTCTGGTGAATTCTCTCACCCTCCCATGCTTCTGACTATACCCAGTGCTTGTATAAATAAATAAATAAATACATACATACATACATACATAAAATAAAATAAAATAAATCTTTAAAAAAATAGAAATGGAAATTATTTCCAAATCACAATAAGTTTTAACAAGCAAATTACCTGTGTCAATGGCTCTACTGATCCAATGTATGTATCAGGACGAAGGAGAATGTGTTCAAGCTGTGTCTTTTTCTGATATACTCTCTCAACAGACAACTTCTTTGAAGAATCATTTTTGTTTGATGTTTCTGAATCTTCTTTCTTTGCAGCATTGTTCTGATCAAAAAGAGTCTAAAATTAACCAAAAAATCAAATTTAAATAACCTACCAAGGGGTAAACTAAAATGTATATGGACACATGACATGGGTTTTCTTTTTAATGACAAAATTATCTTTTGAGGTAATTTTAAGCCCTAAAGAGAACACAGGTCTATTTACTGACAGTCTAGTTCCTGTTATAATCCAGTATGAAACCGCAGTTTTGACAAGAGTCCAAAAAGTCACAGAATCACAGTCATCAGAATAACCAGAACAGTCTAAACATCTATTCAATCCAGAAATAAAATTTCCCAACTCTGTAAGATATCAAGTTAATTTTGTAGTTCTCAAAACTTCCAACAAATGTGAGTTCTGGTTAGGTTACAGGTTCACAATGACTAAATCTGACTTGCAATAGGGATCCCAAGATTCCAGATGTAAATTCTCTACTATTAAGCTCTGGAAATTATATAGTAAAGGGGCAAAAGTAACTTATGTGTCTCCCTGGTGCACAAGGGGTTAAGTCTCAGCACTATGAAGCTATCCCCACCCACTGCAGCATGAGTTGGATCCCTGACCAGGGAGCAATCCACATGGTGCAGCAGACCTCTCATGTCTTGCCTGCTGCTCCCCTCAGCAGTGTATTTCAGTCAATCCACCTGTTTTGTTGCCCACTCTGTCTCTGATGAATCCTCTCACCCCCTGCACCTCTGGCCTGTACCACAGTTCTTGTATGCATAAATAAATCTTTTTTTTTTTTTAAAGTAACTCCAAAATAATTGCAGTATCTTCATAGGTCATTGTACTGAGTAGAAAAGAAACAATCAGAAGACAAACAATGGAAGAGAGAGTTTGTGCAACTAAGTGGTATACCACTTCCATTCAGGTCCTAGACACAGACCACAAGCATCTTTAAAGTTATTTTTAGGAACATGTCATTACAGTCTTTAAATGTACATTTGAAAATCAAACTCCATAACCTGTGAGTAATCTAAACCAGGGCAATAACTGTAACAAATCCTATGTTAATTATAATCTTATAATACCATAAATTTTACATAAAATTAAAGAGACTTAATATTCAAAATAACAGTATTAAAAATAACTCACTCTAGATTTTGAAGAGTATTTTTAGATAATCTTTCATTTATAAGGGTAACTAATTAAATGCTCAAAGTGAAAGGAAAATAGCCAATTTGTAAGATTAACCTCAACCAGACTCCTTTCTATCTAATTTGGGTTTCTATATCTGGCACTTATGAGTTACAATGAACCTTGTAAGGTATGGAAAAAGTATTAAAACTCTACCTCACTCCTTTTTCAAGAATTTACAACTTTTTCCATATCCCCTTACTACTAATTACCAGGTCTTTCTCCCAAGTGGTATGAGACTATGGGATGTTTGGCTTGCACCTAAAAGATTCCTAACAAGTTCAAAAAGGTCATCATTTTTTTCCCCCTAGGATAATGTCTTAAAAAACATGGGCCTCCCTGATGGCCTAGGGGTTAAGTCTCAGAGCTATCACTGCTAAGGCCTGAGTTAGATCCCCAGCCAGAGAGCTAATACACATATGGCGCAGCAGACCTCTCCAGTCTCACTTACTGCTCCCCTTAGCAGTGTATTCTAGTAAATCTGCCTGCTCTGTCTCTGGTAAATCCTCTCACAACTCTGACCTACACCCCAGCTCTTTCATGCAAAAAATAAATAAATCTTAAAACAAAAAATGAAAAACAAAGAACATGTGAAATGAAGTTGACTCTATCAGATTACTTTTTATAAATTTCTCCAGGAATAATATATAAAAAACTACAAAAGTGTGAAAATATACTCAAAACACTTTATGCCAAAATATTTTTTCCTAAATATCATGACAGATACTGAGGAAAGAAAAACATGCATCATTCTAGTTGACATAATAAAAAGCATTAAGGAAAACATGTTATTATAGGATACAATAAAAAATGCATTTTGAGGGCCTCCCCAGTGGCACAGCGGTTGAACGTTGGGTTGCGAAGCTGCCCGCGGCCTCTGCGGCGCCGGTTCATTCCCCGGCTGCTCCCCTACCACCGGAGGAGGGTCCCACATGGCGCGCAGACCTCTCCTGCCGCCCGCTGCTCCCCTCAGCAGTGTACTTCGGTCCTTCTGCCTGCTCTGCTCCCCACTCTGGCTCTGGTGAATTCTCTCACCCTCCCATGCTTCTGACTGTACCCAGTGCTTGTATAAATAAATAAAATAAATCTTTAAAAAAAATGCATTTTGAGATCATTTATAGATATTCCAAATCAATTCTCAATTTCTAAAACTTCATATAAACTTTAAAAATGATTACAAATTTTAGTTATCCCTACTATATGGGTAATAAATTTAAAAAGTTTTTATTATGAACTACTATTGCTATGTTAGTAATCAATTTTTTTAAAATTAGTAGTTTATTAAAACTGCACTGTTTGGGCCTCCCCGGTGGCGCAGTGGTTGAACGCTGGGTTGCGAAGCTGCCCGCTGCCTCTGCGGCGCCGGTTCGATCCCCGGCTGCTCCCCGGCCACCGGAGGAGGGTCCCACATGGCGCACAGACCTCTCCTGCCGCCCGCTGCTCCCCTCAGCAGTGTACTTCGGTCCTTCTGCCTGTTCTGCTCCCCGCTCTGGTGAATTCTCTCACCCTCCCGCGCTTCTGACTGTACCCAGTGCTTGTATAAATAAATAAAAAAAAAAACAAATAAAAAAAAAAAAACTGCACTGTTTAGGGCCTCCCTGGTGGCACAAGGGGTTAAGACACAACCTATGATGCTATCCACAGCCACTGCAGCATGAATTCAATCCCTGGCTGGCCAGGGAGCAAACCACATGGTGCAGCAGATCTCTCATGCCTTGCCCACTGCTCCCCTCAGCAGCGTATTTTAGACAGTCTGCCTGTTCTGCTCCCTACTCTGTCTCTGGTGAATCCTCTCACCCCTATACACCTCTGGCCTGTATCCCAGCTATACATAAATATATTTTTTAAAAGATTTATTTATTTGTACAAGCAGTGGGTACAGTCAGAAGCACGGGAGGGCGAGAGAATTCACCAGAGCCAGAGCAGGAAACAGAGCAGGCAGGCTGACGAAACACACTGCTGAGGGGAGCAGCCGGCACGGCAGGAGAGGTCTGCATACCATGTGGGACCCTCGCTGCCAGCCGGGGATCAAACCGGCGCTGCAGAGGCTGTGGGCAGCCTCGAGCCCAGTGCTAAACCACTGCACCACCAGGGGAGGCCCAAATAAATCAATCTTTAAAAAATAAAAATAAAACTGCACTGTTTAGTGAATAAGTATATAATAGATCATTTTTATCAGAAGAAAATGACATACAATGTATATATACATGCAAGGAAAAGATATACACCCAACAAAGTATCAATAAAAATTGTGAGAAGTAGAAATAGGGTTAATATTCACTTTCTTTTCTGATACATTTTCTAATTTTAAAAAGAACACTTATTGATATATTTTAAAAGCTTAACCCATGTTTGTGAAAATGCAAGTGATAATAAAATTGAAGGTTTACTTTTTCTAGAGGCACTGTTTATACATACTTATTACTTCTGAAGTCCCAACATTCTTACTAGAATCTAGGCAAATCTAGGTAAGTGAAAGCAAAATAAGACTGATGGCCTTGGCAGAATAAAATGCAGAATTAGGCCTTCCTTGTGGCTCAAGGGGTTAAGCCTCAGCACTATGAAACTATCAGCAGTCACTGCAGCAGGAGCTTGATCCCCACCAGGGAGGTGACCCACATGGTGCAGCAGACCTCTCCTGTCTCGCTCCTGCTCCCCTCAGCAGTGTATTTCAGTAGATCTGCCTGTTCTGCTCCTCACTTTGTCACTGATGGATCCTTTCACCCCCTGCACCTCTGGCCTAAACCCCAGCTCTTGTATACATAAATAAATAAATCTCAAAATAATAATAAAATAAAATGCAGAATTAATACTGCAGTCAGATTTGTCTTTTGCTTTCCCTTTCTCAATAAATGGTAGTTTGCACTACCATTGGTTCACTAACAACAAACTGAGGAGGTTCTCTCTTGAAAGGTCTATAGGAATTCTGACAGAAACTTGGAATAATGGTCTCTTTCAGTGCCTGTTTATTAGAAGAAAGTTATCCCCTGAGTAAGGTCCAGTCCACTGAAAATCAGAATCTGAGAATAAAGAAAGAGAGAACAACTTCCACTTGCTTCAGTGGGGTGATTCCCAACTCTAGAACAGGTATAAATACAAACATCCTCATCCAAGAACTATGAAATTAAATGAGAAATCTGTTGATCATCTTCCCTCCACCTCCCACCCCCAGTTATAATTACTACCATGTGTAGCTCTTTCAAAAAGTCACCTGAGTAGCTCTTCAGTTTTAGCAGTGGCTTATACTGTTCAGAAAAAAAGATTAAGAAACTAGTTTAAACAAAAACAAATCAGGAAATTCTATCTACACAATTCCATAGATGATCACTGAGGATGATATCTACTTGAAACCTTTAAGCAGGCATTTTAACGACTGAAAAGCAGGTTTTTATTCAAAATAATGAGTTAACCTTTAATGTTCATAGTAATACATCTTGTACTATAATAATTTACTAAGTATACCACACTGAATAAAAATTAACAATATGCCTTTGAAAATAATCAATTACCAAGATCATTTCATTAAAGTTTAATAAAAGTTGAAAACTTGTGTTTTAAGTTTAATTTTAATTTAATATACTGTCTTAATTTGTGTTCCCAAATTACCAATCTATTTATGGTAATAGATCATTCTACCACTCATTTACACTGAAATCTAAAAAGTAACATTTTTAGTCACATAAAACTAAAGACAATGGAAATATAAAGTAATTCCATATTAGATAATATCCTGAACACATCTGAAAAAGTTTTAATTCTATTCTTTAAGATTTGTACATATAATGTCACAATTGACTTTTTTAAAGTTTAAATGCTGGCTGCCAAATTAAACAATGAATTATTGGGCATTTTTTTGACAAAAATATCAAAAAATATGTAAA